ATTAGAATTAAGTAGAGGGCTCCACGCGCCAACAACGACCATCCTCAGCATTGTTTCTCTTTGTTCCTTCTCTTTGTTGTTCCTTCTCTTTGTTGTCATTCCTTCTCTTTCTTGCTGTCGAAGAAAAGATGTGCTTTTTCTTCCTTGACACTTGAATCGGTTTGCCGCCTGTTTAGGGCGCGCCTGCTCCCGAGACTGAAAAATGGTTAAGTCAAGGATTCCAATAAAAAAATATGTACATTACATATTTTTTGGTTGTCGTGGGCCCACGACAACCAAAAAATATGTATTTTGGGTCATAATGCGAGCCGGCCGTGCCGAAATTTACACAGATATATGTTATCGGGAATCACCCATTAAAAGCTCTATTACTTTTAGTACGAGTAAAAGTACTTCTACTTACCTAGGTAGTAGTAGTACGAATTTTACCGTTCCATCTAAACTGAAAGATCCTTGTGCATCGTTGCACAAGGTACCGTACGACTATACCTAGTAGGGTACGGGTACAACTCCAATGTGAACCAGAAATCTCGTCACTCCATACCGCACCAGGTATCCTGTTTTACGACGATATTATCTTCGACAGAGACACAGCGCCGCAACCATGGTCGCCAAGAAACGCAATCTTGCTAGTTCGGGGAATGGAGCAAGTCGCGGAATGCAGAGAGGAAACAGTGCTGCGGGTGGCGGTGGTGGCGGTGGCGTCTCCAGCAAAAACGCCCATCGAGACACGCTTCCCGGCATTGTCTGGTCTGTGGTCCTGTGCATCGTGAAATGCTCGATTTGGTTTGCAATAGCGTTTCCCTTTGCGGTGGCTACCCATTCCCTCTCGCTTGTCTTTGGCCGGCCTCCGAACTTGGTCTACTTGCAGCAAACCCTGCGGTATCTAGGATTTGTGTGGAAATCGTTAACGTTTGCAACCCCCGAACAAGAGCGGCACATGCAGTCCTTCTCGGTCACGGAAAAGATTCGGCTCACCACCACGATTCTCGTTCACACCATCTGCTCTCCGCTTTCCGCCTTTGGATGGATCCTCGACGAGATTCTCTACGGGCGTCGCTTGAATGGGCTGGAACCAAAGGAAAAAGCCGCGGTCGAGAATCCCGTCTTTGTGGTGTCGGCCTTTCGGTCCGCCTCGACCCAACTGGCACGGGGCCTCGTCTCCGAAACCCGATACACGTGCGAGAAGGGTGGCACCAGCACCACCGAGCCTTGTTTTGTGGCGCCCAACGCTATGATGTGTGCCTACCCCTATCTGTGGCTGTGGAAGCTCGTGTATGCCATCGTTGGCGACATTCCCGATACGCTGGTCGACGCCGAACGAGCACAGACCGAGGGCGGCCTCACCAAGGAAGACGTGAGGGAAAAATTCAACGCCGGGTTCACTCCCGACAGCATGGCCCGGCACGCCAACGATCCCTTCCAGACGGACACCTTCGACGGCACCTTTCTGAACTGCCACCTGAATGGCTTTGTGTGGCAGCTCTGCCGCGGCCTGCCGGCCTCTGCCATCGAACAGGAGTTCAATTACGCCTGCCAGAAAGAGGGGGACGCGCTCAACCGGCGCATCTGGCAGACCGACATGGTCCGCCACATCGAAAGGCTGGCCCGGAAAACCATTCTGTTCCACAACGAGGGCGGCGGCGAAACGGCCGCGGGAGGGGTACGACCGCCGCAGCGGTTTCTGCTCAAGGGCCACTTCCTGTCGGTGTGCCCGCAGCTGAGGGAGGCCTACGGTGGGAGGGCCCGGTTCGTTACCATCCTGCGGGATCCCTGCGAGCGGTTGCGGAGCGGGATCAACTACATGGCCGTCAATCCCACGCTCTACGCCAGCGATCCGAGGCAGCAGATCCCGTGGGCCGCCTTTGCGGAGGCCCTGGGAGAGACCGAGGCCCAGTACTGCGAGCGCGAACTGCAGTGGTTTGGGGGGACCGGTGGCGACGAGAGCGACCGGCTGGCCGTGACCTTTGACTCCTTTGTGGCGGACCGGGGGAAGGCAATGGGAGAAATCGTCAACTGGCTCGGACTTGTGCCGGAGGACGATCCGGGAGAGGTAGCGATCGCGTCCACCTCGCAAGCCAAGAAGAGCAAGTCGCCGCGGAAAAAGAAGACGCCCTCCGCTTCTTCCGCCGCGACCAAAAAAGCGTATCGCATCGATCGATCCCTTGCCGAGTTGGGAGTGGACGAAAAGGCATACAGAGAACGTTTGTCGGACTACCTAGCATGGATAAAAGATGTATCTAGCGGGAGTTCCTACAAAAGCAAATCGGAGTGAGATCCTTTGATATTTTCACGACAGGGCATATCATTGGATCTAATAGAGAACGAGCAAAGAAAGAACAACACCTTGGTGAAAATGATATAAATTATAAGAATTACTTTTGCCTCGCGCTAGCTGCTGCAATGCTCAATCGAAACCGGTGGCGGCAACATAGACCATTTAGCAACTTAACGCGAAGGTTACACAATTTAATGGTATCGTTTCAATGTTATGGAGTGCAGTGACAACAAAATAAATAGTTTATCGTCGAAATTCGTGGAAGGATTTGGTGGAAAGGGAGAGGAGGAATATTGCACGTCGGAAAAAGAGAGAAGGACATTGAACACATAATTGTGCTCTTGCATTCAGAGCTATTTGTTTGCTTTGAAGTCCCTAAAGCTCTGAAATCGGACGGAAGAGCATCACTTTGTCCAACTCGTGAACAACCCCGTTGCAGGCTTTCATGTCAAAATTGACAAATTCGGGTATGTCGCTGTCCGGATTGTACTTTCCCTTCTGGTACGTCGGGATGCCGTCAACGCACAGCGTTCGGCTATCTTTCCCGCTGGCCATCTCAATCAGATTGTACCCAGCCTCGCAGGGGAGATCGTCCTTGTACAACGTCTTCCCTGCAACCACATGGAAGACTAGCAACTGAGTCAGAGAAATCTCGTTGTACGCGAGTTTTTCAACATCGCTTGTAGGTAATTTCAAAAACGCCTCGTTGTTGGGAGCGAACACAGTCCATTCTCCGGACTTGAGGCTGCTCTCAACACCGGTTCTTGCGAGAGCATCGCATAGAATGGAGCTGCAATGAATAAAATGAAAAAAAATCAGGGAAATTACAGACGATGTGTGAGGTTGTGAAATGCCCAAATTAATATTTCACGCAAATGCCATCAGCTTTTCATTGCTCTATTTGTACTCACAAATCGGGTAAGCTGCATACAAGTTCGTCTGATGTGAAAGGATTGAGATTGAGAAATAAAGAGAGTTGAAAGAAATAAGATTTGGACATGATGGTTGCATATTTGTAAGGTTAGTAGTACATCAATGGAAATCTTACCAATGCTTTTGCACTCTTCAGGTTCAATGGTCTCTGCTTCAACAACCGGAGCAGATGTTGGTGGCACAACTGGAGCGGGGGTTGGTGAAACGACATCGATCTCGGCAACCGGAGCGTCGGTAGGTGCCGCGATTGGCGCCAGTGTTGACAGAGGAGGAGATGCTGTTGGAGGGAATGTCGCATCTCTGGGAGGGATCCCAAGCTTGGTTGGCGTCTTGTAGAGAATCACTTCATCGACGACATGAATCAAACCATTGCAGGTCTCAATGTCGCTCTCGATGATTTGGGGCAAGTCAGAACGGCTGTTCCCAGATCCCTTCTGGTAGATATTTCTGTCTTTGCAAACAGTGCGGGAATCTCGACCGTTGTCCATTTGAATCACTTCCTTGCATTCCAAGTCGAAGCTGTACAAAATCTGATCGCCGATCGTGTGGAACATCAAGATGTTTGTCAAGAGATCCTTGTTTGATTCCTCCATCAAATAGTCTAGTGCAACGGGCCCAAGCTTCTCGAAGGCTTCATCGGTGGGAGCAAAGAGAGTGATGTTTCCACTGGGTTTGCCGAAAAACTTATCGAGTCCGCCCGTAGCACTGAAGGCGGCACAGAGATGGGTGAAACTGTCCGAGTCACAAACGATCTCCGTAATCGTGCATGGTTCTGGTTCATCTGGCGATTTTCGTGGTGGCTCTGCTGTCTCTGCTGGTGCTGGCTCGTCTGATTCTAACCCTGCCTCGACGGATGCCATGGGAGGCTTGGAAGAAGGTGCGAGAGATGGTCCATCCGATGGATAAACCGAAGGACTGACCGAAGGTGCAAGCGATGGTCCGTCCGATGGATAAACCGAAGGACTGACCGAAGGTGCAAGCGACGGTCCATCTGACGGGCTACGCGATGGGGAGGGCGTTGGTACAATAGATGGTTCAGAGGGTCCGTCGGACGGGGGGCTCGAAGGGCTAACAGATGGTTCCATAGAGGGCCCGTCGGATGGAGAGCTCGAAGGGCTGACAGATGGTTCCATAGAGGGTCCGTCGGATGGAGAGCTCGAAGGGCTGACAGATGGTTCCATAGAGGGTCCGTCGGATGGAGAGCTCGAAGGGCTGACAGATGGTTCCATAGAGGGTCCGTCGGATGGAAAGCTCGAAGGGCTAACAGATGGTTCCATAGAGGGTCCGTCGGACGGAGAGCTCGAAGGGCTAACAGATGGTTCCATAGAAGGTCCATCAGAAGGGGAGCTTGAAGGGCTAACAGATGGTTCCATAGAAGGTCCGTCAGAAGGGGAGCTCGAAGGGCTAACAGATGGTTCCATAGAAGGTCCATCAGAAGGGGAGCTCGAAGGTCTAACAGATGGTTCCATAGAGGGCCCGTCGGATGGGGAACTCGAAGGGCCGGAAGTGAAGTCTACTGCCGCCTGAACAAAAGTACTGTTGGAAACATCATACTCCTTGTATCTGGAATTTAAATGAATAAAAAATCATGTAGAAATCTGTAGTGAGACGATCGGCAACTTTTGCTACTTCTGTCGAGATCGTTTCCCTATAGGCTACGCACTTGACGGTGACACATATGAAAGAACTTACAGCATGATTTCGCTTAGAGTATGAATCACTCCATTGCATGCCTCAATATCAGCGGTGATAATTTGTGGATAGTCTGATGTGGGATTTGCTAGACCCACCTGAAAGGTTTTATCACCTTCGCAGATTGTGACAGTAAATTCTTCGTTGCTCATGAAAATTCGTGTGTCGCATTTCAAATCGGTGCTCATGATCTTCTTTTCCTCGGCAGTGTGGTAAGCTAGGAGATCAATCAAGCCCCTTGGATCATCGCCATCGAGCATGTCTTCCACAATGGTATCGGGGAGTAAATGAAAGGCGTCATTGACCGGTGCGAAGACGGTCCATGTTTCGGTATCCAAGTCAAGTCCAGCCATCTCAACGGCTTCGCAGAATGTGTCTGTCGAAAGATTGTTGTCAACGTCACAAATGATTTCCATGATAGTTGAGCAATTGGTGGTGGTTTGACGGTGATGCCAACCACTGTCATACGCGTCGGCCAATTTGGCCAATGCTAGCACTGCAAATGAGGAGAGCGGAATAGATTTCGTCATAGTCCCTGTTAAGCGATCAATTATTTTTGTTTGTATTGTTATTCTTTCTTGTTAGCAATTCATTTGATTATCAGTTTTTCATGGCACAAGTGAGAAGAATATGCTTTCTTGCGTATACAATTCTGATTTTGCATTCCTATCCAAAAGGAAGTGTAGAATAGCGATCCGAACGGAAAAGATGAGCACGAAAAATTCTAAGTATCCAAGAGTTTGTGATGCCATTGCTTGTGGATTATGAGGAAAATTCCTTGCCGGACCGGAGTTTTCGGTTGAACGCCAAATCTTTGCGCATCTTTCTATGTGTGAGATAGTGTAACTAAAGCGAGTGGAAAGAAGTTTGTTTTTAGACAGCGAGGCGATTGTGTTTCAAACCGCCAACAAATGTTTGTCTGTCGTTCGATGTGTACGTACCGTACGTACTGGTTGGAATCTGACTACGAGTACCTCGTACTACCTACCATGGGACATGAATGTTTTTTGTTTTTAGACCTCCTCTAAATTGTAAGATACCGGTACAGTTCGTACTTACACTGATCTAAGTAGTAGTTAGCGAATGCAGTCGTGGATCTGTCTACCGTACAGTGCAAAAAGTGAGTCGATTGAATCTGCCATCCTAACTTCCTCCTAACTGCCCAGAATTCACCCGGAGGTACCGGTACGTAATTGTCCTACGAGTATGGTACATCTAATCGGACGAGAAGCGGGAAGCTCCTGGTTGTAGAGTTCGAGTAAGCCAACTACTGACGTTTGTCCAGTACAATTCGTACTAACACGGATTGAGAAAAATTACGTAAGCGCAAAGCTACACGTTATCGTCCCGACAAAGAGTGACAGAGATGGTTGTACGGTACGCTACTCGTACCTCGTAGTACAGTAATACCATAATCGTCATACCGGCAGGATGGTTGAATAATTACGACTGTACTTCGGAAATCGATTTGCTGAAGCAGTGTGAGGCTACATCCTTTTCCACGAACACTTTCAAATACAGCTACTCGTACTTGCTCTGTTCGGACGGCGTTATCAATTTGTATTGCGTGAAACATGAGATCGACATCGAGAATATTCTACATCACCGTTGCTGTTATTTGCTTAGTCACTACAACGGTTGATGGATTTGCTGCTCTTCGACCGGGCGTTACGTCGACGACAAAAATAACAAGCCAGTTGAAATCTGAATCTTCGACCACGGCTAACAATCTAGCGATTGTCAGACAAACACAACTTTTTGCTGGATCGAACGCCGGAGTCGTTCCCGGCATTGGCGAGGAAGGATGCAATTTGCCATCGGTCTCGGGAATCAACACAAAGGACGATCTCACGCAAGCCTTTGTCGTGAAGGTGGTCTTTCTTTCTCTGGCATTGGGAACCTTTTTGTTTTCTTCGGGGCTTGAGCAATGTTCGGGGTTCCTCGATAGCAACTTTCCGTCGCAGTACGAATTTTTCCGCAACACATGGCCTATAAGCTTTGGATTGATCTTTTCGCTTGCTGGAGTCACGCACTTCACGCTGAAGGAAGAATATGAAAACATTTATCCAACCAGGGGAGCTTGGGGCGTCTGGTACCTACCAGGTTCAAGGGCCTTCCACGTCGCCTGGACGGGTGCCGCTGAGCTGGCAGGGGGTCTCGGACTCTTGGCAGCCGGGGTCTCTTCTTTCGCCGGAAATCCGAATCTGGCCCCCCTGACGAGCGCTGGATTGGAATCCGATTCTGCCGCGGCACTTTTCCTCCTAGTCCTTGCGGTAACGCCTGCTAATATTTTCATGTTCACGCACGGTGCCAAACTTCCGATGGACTCCGAACCCCTCCCCGTTTCCTTTCATGGAGTCCGATGGATCATGCAGGTCGTTCTATTGGGATTCTTGTATCAAATGGGCCAAGAAACATTTCAGGCTCTGTTGTCGTAGAGCAGAGGAAAAGAGAGCCTCTCATATGAGTTTCGCAACAATTATGCAATGCCCACTTTCCCTGCTTTGGTTTAGAAATGGCCCTCGACCACTTGATCATGATGTCAACCAATGTTGGACGGGACTTTGGCACATGATGGTTCTGTCGATGCGTCATCTCCTGATAGTAAACAATGACTAGTGAACTATACCTAGTTTCACGTGTAAATATAGATGGGAAATCGCTCAGGACAGACGCAGAAATCGCCGGAGTGGCTGTTCCGTATTTTCTAACGTTATGTGGAGCGATCGCTTGAATTTACTACATTCAATAGTAGTAGAAGAATAAAAGAATTACGAACGCAAAATACCAATATATGATTTCGACTGCATTAAAGAATAATCTGTCTCGTTTCCCTTAAGTAATGGTCTACAATGAGATGGATAACAGTGCTCTGAATCATCGGCATATGGATGAAATCAGCTCTGTGTTTAGGCGATTTGAATGGTTCATGTTGAATCATTTTGATCTCATCCAAAAGCATTGTAGTGTTACTAGTATTAGTCCGGCGTACGAAATGAAATTGGGATGGTTTTCTACCTCAAGCTATATCATTAGCAATGAATAATATTCGAGAGCTGCACCAAACCCATCAACACAGAAAAAGAGATCGGCCCAAAGCAAAACAGTGTAATCGTAGTCAGACGCCTTACCGTTGGGCCAAAGGGTCACGAGAAACCCTCCCGGGAATCGAACCCGGAATCTTCTGATACTCTACGCACGGTCCGATCCGGGAATCGAACCCGGGACCTCCTGCACCCAAAGCAGGAATCATGCCTCTAGACCAATCGGACATTTTTGTTACACGTGCACACATATGAGGAAAAAACTTTTGCTTAGAAAGACATAATTATTTGATCAATATGATTCAACTAAATGGCCTACTATTGATAGCATGTAACTGACATTAAGTATAGTTATAATATTTGGTAGATGGATTACTAGTAGTACTTGACTATAAATCAGTGCAGTACCAATGTTGCAACAAAAACGATGAATAGTTGTTTAGTATCTTGTTCATCCTTGTGTTGGATTTTTAGCCCTGCTGATCATGCTAGTAGTGGTGTTGTCCAAAGAGTGGCTGCTGGATTGAGAATATTTGATGGCATGAAAAAAATTTCATTTAAGAACAACTATTGCTTGTACTAGCACGCTTTACTGGTAGTAGTGTTGTTAGTAGTAGTACTACTACCAATGATAGTCCAGACAACAATGGTGTGCAAAAAGCAAGAATACTAGTGTTTGCAAATGAACATAATTCAACCAAATTTCCAAGAATCATGTAACAGCAACAATGTACTATTTTGCTTTTTATTTTTGTTTACTTCACATCTATCACCACCACCTAGATCCTAGATCCTCTGATGATAACAACAAGCGGAAGAAAACAACACCAGCACCAGCAGAAAAGAAAATTTTGTGATCTTAAAAAAGTTTGTGACATTGTCATCTAATTTATCTCTTCCATCATTGCTGTTTCATGGGAACATTAATGCTCACCACCAGCAAAACCAATAGTGTACGTTTGGTTTCATTGCTCACCACTACTAGTAGTACTTCTATTTGTTATCCTCCTCATCATAACTGAAATGCACAGCCATTTGCTCATCAAATCATGATGTCCTACTCAGTACTAGTAGTACTAGTACTTGTAGTAATAGACATTCTTGTTCATTATAAGTACATGTCATATTTCCTTTATTGTGGTGTTGTGGTACTCTTTGTAGTACCTCACATTTTGCTTCTTGTATTCTAGTGGTACTTCATGTTCCTCCTGTTATTGTTGTCTTGTTGGGTGTTCTTTTTCTCATGCCTAGTAGATTGTTGGAGAAGCACTCCTACTAGGACCACTGGTAGTCACCCATACTAAAACCTGCTGAAGACATTGTACCAGTACAGGATGATCTTGCTGCATCTAGTAGGAAGTACTAGTAATGATTAATCAAAAAATACAGATTTTTCCACTACCAACAACCACCCAGTAGTAGTAGCAATGCAAACCTATTGTTTAGTCAAAAAGTGGTGTCAAATCAAATGATATGATTCTAGTACTTGTTGACTGTGAATCATATCTAAATCTACTCATCTTAAACCAAAAGATGGTAGATACAACTAGTAACAGCATTAGAAAGGCACTAGTATGAAGAAGCAATGTGAGTTAAGAATACAACTTAGGAGTGTAGTTGGTTGTCAATTGCTGGATTGAAAAGACAACAGTCCTCACCATCAGTGCATGTGCAGCATAGTATGGATACATATGAAAAAACCAAATGGGTAACAGAAACAAAGAATCAGAAACTGCATGATAACATCATTTGCTGATACATGACCTTGTTAAGGAAAATATCAGGAAAGATATGACATCCTATAATGGACAACAACAACAAGAGGAACACTAGCTACTAGCTGTCACTAACTAGCTCCTGTCACTACCTCACTCAAAAGTATTGTGATTGGAGTGGAAAGCCATCAGCTATCACTTATGCACAGTAAAGCATGCATGTAATTGCTCACAATGGAGGTGGTACACAAAAGAAACTTAGTATTTCTTCAAGAAATTGTATGACTTGATTTCACCAGCTAAATACCTTGCATAATCTGGTGTGTTCCCTTGCCAAATAGTAATAATAGAATATCAGGACCATATGACATAAATGCAATGACAACTATACTATTACTACCAGAAAGAACATGGGTGTGCCACTTTCATCAGGATATGCTTTCATTTGCAAAGTTTATCATTGCCTATTGGAAGAACTCTCAATCTTGTGGATATTATAGCAACTGAATTGAAATCTGTGGGCTACTGCAAGAACAATCCACAATCACAAGTAGCTAATGAATAACCTCACTCTTTATTGTAAACACATGCTCCTAGTTTTGCAACACTGAAGACCATGCTTACATTTCACAGGTTGTGAGCAACATAGGACTCGCCTTGCTGTCTCATATCCTATTCATCATCATCACTAACAATTACTTCATGACAGCTGGTAACCAGTGGCTAACACCAGCACTGTCCAGCCTGAACATGTGGAGCAGTTGTTCAGATTCTTCCCAACCATTGCCATCCTACACTTGTTCTTTCATTAATGACAAGAGGTATCTGGAATATGTTCAAGAACACAATACAAATAACCAAGCAAAAATCATGCAATCCTAACAAAATTTTAATTCTATCACTAGTAGTAGCAATCAGCCATTGGTGAAAATTCACATGGTTGGTCAAATTAACTGTCCCTGTGATCCTCTTATTAATGATAACAAATTAACACATAGACTGTTTTTAATTTTGGCATAACAAGAAGAACGCTAACTGGCAGTAATGGCTAGATAATAGCCTGAAACACAATCCGTTATGAAATTTTTCCAGAACACTTTGGTATTTCTATGCTTTCTGCAATAGATTCATTCTTGTCTCTGGTCAAAAAATGTCAGAACAGCACTATTGCAAATATTAGATCTTTTCCTATTGAAACAAGAATAGTCCAATTTTTCAAAATCACCAATATTACTAGGTAGTAATTCTATCAACAAACACAATGTGCCACAAATCTTCTTTAAAAAATAGATAATCAGCCCAGTAGTAGATCATTTTTTGATTGGATTGTTTGCACCTCTCCTAGCTCAGCTGAAAAGACTTTACAAACTATCCAGACAGGAACATTGCCAACAAGGTGGAAGGGAGGAAATGAATATTTCAAGATATAAATCAGAGAGTTGGGATCAGGATGGATAGGAACAAGAGGGATGAGATCTTGTCACTGTTTGATTGATTACACTGTTAGAGTAGTGTTTTTTCCAAAATAAAATAGATGAGGTTTTTAGCAAGACACAGTCCTCTTTATTGGTGTCATGGGGGGAATGTGATGCTAAATATAATGACCTACTAAGTCCCATTTTTGACAAAGGTATGGCCCTTATTGATTTTGGTCCCTTGTCAGCAAGTACCACTGGTATTTTGTCCATATTGGGTCCATGATTCAAAAAATCATTGATTACTATAGTCTAAGGATGCCAGTCCTTGATATTGGCACCAAGGGGGGATGTGAAGTTACCTAACTCTCTTTTTTGACAAAGTGATGATGCTCATGATATGTCTGGATTTTGAGCAACTACTGGTATTGTCATACTAGTGATGAGCCTGATATTCCTTGAATACACAATATGAATCCAAAAACCTGATAAAATTCTCTCAATTGGTTCCATGCTGGGAGGTATGAGATGCAAAATATATTCATCAAACTCCTACATATTTTTGACCAAGAAGTTATGGCCCTCAAAGTGATTTTGGTTCCTGCGTGACGTGCACAGTTATTTGTCCATATGCTGTTAAAATAATATTTGTTCCAAAATATAACCATATATGAGCTTCATAGTAGCAAGATGCATTCCTGTCTATTGGTGCCATGGGGAGTGTGGTGCAATGCTAAATGAAGTCATGGGTCCCTTTTTTGAAAAGGTTAGTAGAGCCCTCATAGTGATTGGGTCCAATATCCCCCAAATACCATAGATCACTAGTAATATCAAATGATATAGTCCTGGCTATTGGTGTCTGGGGGGGATGTGATGCTAAATGACCTCAAAGCTAGTAGTCTCTGGCTAGAATGACAACCAATGATACTTGTATTTTGAGTTCAGTGTTGGTAGTAGTACTGTCTCTAAATGACCTCAAAGCTAGTAGTCTCTGGCTAGAATGACAACCAATGATACTTGTATTTTGAGTTCAGTGTTGGTAGTAGTACTGTCTCTCCAGAAATATCAGTACTTCTTAACTTCACCAAAGAATCGGGCCTGTCTTCTAATGATAAGAGACAAGAACATCTGTAGCTGTCACATAAAAGTACTCACTTGACAGACTTATTGACCTCAAAGCTAGTAGTCTCTGACCAGAATTACAACCAATACTGGTATTCTAGAGTAGTATTTTTCCAAAATATTTGGTATTGGTGAGTTTCACTTACTAGGGGGCCAAGATCAGTCAGCACACTGGTAAGCTAGTAGTCTTTAGTGGATTCCTCCAGTCTATTGCATCTGCACATTGTGCTAGCTGCTTGCCTTGTTGGAATGTACTATTGTTTTTGCTTCTGTTCTTCAGAGGTGCTTCACCCCAGTTGCTACAGATCAAATATTTGGAGTACTTAATCAGTATTGCTTTTGAGATCATTTCATTGGGTCAGCTGCATGCCTCATTGGAACATACTATTGTTTTTGCTTCTTCTGTTTTTCTTTGGAGGTGCCTGCCTCCAGTTGCCAAAGATCTACTGTTTGCACTGTTGTCGTACAGTATATATGGTATGTATGATTCCTTACTCTGTACTGGAAACTGCACTGACCAAAAACTGGTTGGAGTTGAACCAAACCCTTGCAACCCTACTATGTATGGAGCAAAAAATTCAGGGCTGACAGCACATTACAAACAAATTTGTTTTTGAGGGGTTCTCCTCAGAATTTTTGACTCAAAATTGTCACAATGATTCTGTACAACCCTCAGAATGTTCTCCTGCCACCAAAAATATATGCCTGAGTAAGAAATTTGACCAAAAACTGACACTGAATCATATTGAATGATGGCTGAGTTCCTCTTTACATAAGAAGGATTCTGCACATACAATGTATGGGGGTAACACTTGATCCAAATTTTGACCATTCCAAAATGGTGTAATCTTTTCCAACTCACCGGTACTCGTCCATGTAAATTACCAAAAAAGAACAATCGATTTTTTAAATAAGGGGTTCTTGGGAACATTGATTTAACATTTGGAATGTGTGTAGGCTATGTACTAGAAATGAGTACTGCAGTTTTGCTTCAATTTAGTAACATCCTGACTGCTCTGGTGCTTCTTACTAACAGTCTGAATGTTAGTACTACGACTAGTAGTAGCAGGAGGGGAGCAGCAGGCATCGTCCTTCTTCCTCATTTTTAAGGTATGTGCAAGACCCAAATAATTGTTTTGGGAAGGTAGTGCCCTACCACATTGAACAATGGGGATACTAGTAGGATTGAACTACAGTACGGAAATTTACTAATATTCTGAATGTTAATTTTAACGTTGTTCCCAACCCCTTACTGAAAGAAAGTTCATTTGTTATTTTGTGCGGCATTTTCGTCCGCACGTAGTTGCCCCCAAATTGTGGATTTTAAAGAGGGATGCGCGTCGGAGAGGCTCTTTGGCGATGAATGAGAAGACGTTAAATTACATCATCATCTTATCCACAATACAGTAGTACTATGGGTACGGTACGTACCGTACCTAATTGACTGAACATGAAACAAAAAATGAAGAATCATACGTCGTCCGGAGCGCATACACCAGCATACCTCATACAGAACCTGCAGTACGAAAACTTCGTAGACTGTATCGAAATAATGAGCTAAATAAATCCACCGTTTGAAAGTAACAATTCGTAACAGTCTTAAACGACCGCACAGTACGCGAGACGGGGGAGCCATCCAGAACAATTCAAACGGAAGAAGCTGCATCGGTTGTTTTAGACTACGAGTAGCACTATTTTTGACGATCCGTTGTGCCTGGATCAGTTCCGGCACTCCCTGCCAATCAAAAGCAATCAGCACAAGCCCTTTTGCCGAGTAAAACCGAAGCACGCATACCTCTACTAACAAAAACACATCAAGTGTGGCTGACAGTATAATACAACACTTTCGCATCAGCTACAAGAAACAAAGAGTCGCAGCAGACCGACCACGAACACAGACAACAATTTACTGTCGAACACTAATTCGTAAGGTCTCAGATACGCACTACCCTCACGCAATGATGACAATAAATGCTTTTCTCCTTGCCCTCCTGGCATCCGTTTTTGCCCCCATCGCTTTCGGTCAAGACAGCAACTCCACTTGCGCTTCCATTGCCGATATTGTTTGCGCAGAGGACAACCTGAATGCCGTTTGCGAAGCTCTTTCAATTAGCGGACTTGACGATGATTTGGCGGAAGAAACTTGGACGGTATTCGTTCCTACAGATGAGGCTTTTGAAGAACTGGGACGCGACAACCTTGATTATCTTGTGTTCGGAAACGATACGGTCCCCCTCACTGACCTATTGTTGTTCCACGTCGTTCCCGGAGTTGCTCTCACCTCCGACCTCCTCCCTTGTGTGGCCGGAGAGAACTTGATCGAAATGGCGAACGGAGACGATTCCCGCACCAAGTGCAGAAGAGGAATTCCGGTGTTCCAAAAGGGAAAATTTAATACTCAGGAGGATTCTCCCCAATTCATCGAGACCGACATTATGGCCTGCAACGGAGTGGTGAGTACGAGTATGCGTCGCCTGGATTTGTGGTGTGCTTCTGGAAATGGAAGCCAATGGCAACGGGAAAATCAAGCATAGAATCCAAAGTATTTTCAAAAGTCGGAAAATTTTTCGACCGTTTCAACCGAATTTGTTTGTTCATTGTTTTCTCACTCGGTTGGTCGCCAATATCTCTCATTTTTCTTTTTCGGATGTCTTCAAATTCAATTTGGAATCACTCGTATTAACGTTACCACGATGTGTTATTACTGTGCCTGAATCCGTCACCAATCCTCTCACAGATCCATATTCTGGATAAGGTCATGCTCTACGAATCGCTTCCTCACCCTATTCCCGTTGCGGATGCGGAAGAGGAGCCCGAAGAGGAGCCCGTTGCGGATGCAGAAGAGGAGCCCGAAGAAGAGCCCGAAGAGGAGCCCGTTGCGGATGCAGAAGAGGAGCCCGAAGAAGAGCCGGAAGAAGCAATCGAAGAAGCAGTGGAAAAATGCCAAACAATTGGTGAGTGAAGAAACATTTCTGATCGGATTCTTACACGTGTTGGTAGTTGTCCTCGTTCGCTCTGGATTGTAGGCGATTCTCATATTCAAACAAAACTACGTTGCTTTTTTTCTCTTTTCTTCAATTCTACAGTCGAGCTGGCCTGCTCAAACCCACGCTTCACAACCGTCTGTGCCCTTGTCAATGAGTTCGGACTTGCGGATGATCTCAGCGACGGGATGTGGACCGTCTTTGCTCCTTCCAACCAGGCCTTTGACAATGCCCCCCCATTCCCGGCCGATGTCGACTTGAACTTTGTCTTGCAGGGACACGTTGTAGCCAATGAAGCTATTCGAGCCGAGGACCTCGTGTGCACCGAGAAGATCGAGATGCTTAACGGTAAACTGACCCGCACTGTTTGCAAGAATGGAACCACCTACCAGAACGGTGTCGACAACGACGACGACAATAGACCGGAAATTGTATTGGCAGATATCGAGGCTTGCAACGGTATTATACATGCTGTAAGCCAAGTCATTCTTACATAAATGAATGCATACGATTGAGTGTGCAGACAGAGAACGGTCGAAATCGATTGGAAAGGGGCGCCAAGCACGTTGTTTCGACCAAAATCCATGCTTTTTTGACGAAATGGGGAGAAACCCATTTCTCATAAATGACAACAGACTGTTGGGAAAACCAGGGGTTTCGGAAGTCGTGGAAACCGATAGCAGCTATGGAGTAGTAAGTGTTTTATAATTCTGATTGTGATTATTTCCCAATCCCCTGATATAGGAAGTAGTATTTAATGGTTTATAAGTCTCTCGGGAGTGAGTTGTAGCGAGGGAAAACTACATAGTAGTCAGAGCTCGAAAAACATACAAAAGTTGTTCCGATGGATTGCACCGATTCCTACTTTTTCATAGCACCAAAGCGGAGGGTTCGAACGTTTCTTCCCGGTGCTTTGCATCCGATACTCACTGTTCCAGAGCACTCCGTGTTTTCGTGCGAGTAGACCGCGATGGTATGGCCGTCTTTCCCATCACGGCGTGGCTTCGTTTTGATGCTGCGCTTTGGTTCGTGTTCGATCGGGGCTCTGCGGGCCCGAAACGTCGCCGGGAAGGCACCCGCTCCAAACGGCAGCTTCCCTCGATCTTCTTCCCCTACCCGTCGTCTCGTCTCGTCTCGTTTTGTTTTATTTTGGTTCGTTTTCTTTTGCACGCCGCGGCATACGGCAGCGCCAGGCCGTCCGTCCCGTGCCGCTCGGGTGTGCCCGGAAGCCCGGCCCCGCTGTTGCTGTTGCTGCTCCCGCCTCGCCCGGCGCTCGGCCCGTTTCCTGGCCACCTCCTCGTCCGTGTCGTGCCGCAGGGGCGGGTCTCGCCTTCTGGCGTCCCTTGCGGGCGCTCCCGAGTGTTTCGCGGCCAGCTTTTGCCGCCTCCGGGCCCGGTATCCGGGACGGGTCCTCCCCCCGCCCCGCTTGCGGTGCGCCTGGTTCTTCCGGCGCCTGGCCCGGAAGCCCTCGGTCTCGGTGCGGACCCACCCCTCCTCGGAAGGGGGCATCCCCCCGATAACTTCCGGGGGATCGTGGAGGCGGACCCCTGAACCGGTGGCCCCCCTCCCCAGCGCGATGGTGGCCTTTTTCAGGAACTGCGCGTCGTCGCTCTCCCGCTCCAGCAGGTAGAACTCCTCGCACCGGAAGGAGACCACCCTTGTGGTCTCGCCCCTTCTCCGGGCGTCCAGGCACGCCGCCGCCGCCTTGGCGTCCCCGAGAGAACCGAACTTGGCGGACATGGTCATGTGCGGGACGAAGGTCCGTTCCTTGAGGGATTCCGAGCACATCGGGAACTCCCTCTCCAGCAGGGCCTGGAGCTCCTCGATGGGGGCTTGCGTTGCCCCCGGCCGGTCTCCCCGGTGGCTTTTGGGATCCGCCCAGAGGACCCCCCGCGTGTCGTCCCCAAAGGTCTCGAGGTTTCCGAGGTCGAGGGAGACCCAGAAAGGCTCGACGCCCAAAGCCGCCCTGCGGAGCTTGGCGAGCAAAGAGCCGTCGTCGTCGTTGTTGTCGGCCTCCTCGACGAACGGATACAAGAGGTTGACGTGCGGGGGCCACCGAAAGAACCCCGGATCGCGAAGCGCGAGGCGGACCTCCCGGACGGCCTCCCAGGCAGCGGAGGCGCACGCATCGCCGCCGCCGCCCGCCAGAGGCGACGGCGGCAAAAGGCACACCGACCGGGAGTGGCGCTTTTTGTAGGCGGTGGCCCTTGTTCCGTCCGCCGCCCTTGTTCCGTCCAGGGCTGCCCCGTCGGCACCGCCGACCTCGGCGGGCACGCCCTCGGCGGGCCTTGCGTCAAGCAGAAGGGATCCTCCCCCGCGCCGCCGCGGCGGCGGGGAAAAGGCCTGCGCCGAAGGAACGGCGGGCAGGGACGCCAATGGCAGAACGGCCGGTGCCAGTGCCAGTGCCACACAAACCGCAAGAATCCAGCGGCGGCGTCGGCGGTCCCCCGCCGCGCTGCGCTTCGGCCAAGGGACCCGGGACCACCCGCAAGCCATGCGGGTCGGAGCACCTGCTCACGCGGACGGTGCCGTACGGTGCAGCGACGACCACACACCCACCCACCGGGAGAAACAGACGATCGAAACAGGAAGGTTTTCGTTTTTGTTTTCGTTTTCGTTTTCGGATTTTGGTGTTGTGGCGGTGTGTGTTTGTTTGTTTTCGTTTGGCACCAACACCCACAACGCCCATGACACCCATGCCATCCATCATCCCCCGTGTGCCGATGCAGTCCGACAGATGGTCAGACGGAGAGATGGCACCGTCTGGTTTTGCTGTGACTGCTCACTACCGTACGGTACTCGACAACGGTACAGTATGGTACTGGGTATGAATTATGAATACGAGTATGCAACGTACGTACCAGAGGTAGTTACCATAGTACCGTAGGAGAATAGAGCGGTACCTAGTTCATAGAGTACTATTCCTAATTAGAGTAGGTAGGAGCCCGTGGTTCGTTCGGTTTCCTTCATTATTCCCTTCGCCCTTGCGAAGCATGAAAGTGTCGAAAACAGATGGAAAACATGATGTATTCGTTTGCAGACCCCTGTTCGTTTGTACGTACGAACCGGTGCGTACTACGTACCGTTATGTTCGGAGCACAGAGCCGAATGCCGACGACGACGCCACGCGACGCGACGGGACCCCACCCCATCCCTGGTAGCCGTCCCCGTAGCGTACGTACGGTACGGGTCAGAATTTGTGGTACGTACCTACGCTACGGCGCGGCCGAAGCAAGAAGGGCCCAGCGCGCGCGGCGACGCGTTGCTTCGCAACCCCCGGACGGAAGAAGGATTTTCGCGCCGGGCGACGGGCCGGAAGTTCGTCCGGTGCCGTGGTTCCGGTTTCGGTTTCTCTGCCCCGGGGAACACCACACACACCGAACGGAATCTGTTTCCATCCAGGCGGTTTCGAGCCGTTCGCAGCGCATCGCTCCCGACCGAAGGAACAAGAGCGATGCACCCGAACCCCAAAAGACATCTTGCGGTGCCGGACCGTAAAGGGTCGTTTGGTCGCGCCGTTGCTTCCCTTTGTTCGCTGCGAACCACGACGAACGGAGGGTTCCAATCGTCCCCGAACCGCGGGATTCTGACGTCCTATAGGTCCGCATTCGAATTCTTTTTTCTCTGGGAATGGCCCGGTGGCGCCCTGGTGTTGCGGAAGCCCAGAACCATCACGGGGGCGAAGCGGAAAGTGAAGCTCCCTCGGTTCGGTGATGGGTGCGGTGCTGTGTGATGCGGTGCTGTGTGATGCGGTACTGGGTACGATGCGATGCGATGCAAAACAAACTCGCAGTGGTGCGGGAGGGTGTCATAAAACAGCGAAACAGGCACGAGGCATTCCGTTCTTCCACTCTTCGATTCTTCCACCGTTTTTTTGATCCGTCCAATCCACGCGGCTTGGAATCCATTTTTGTTTTATCTAATTGTCCAATTGTCCATCCAGTTGTCCATCCAGTTGTCCATCCAATTCTCCTGCCCCGCTGCGCCATGATCCAGACCACCGCCACCGCCCGGAACAACTCTCCCACCGTGCCCACGAGACGGGCAGCGGGAGCGACGGCACCGCCCCCCGACGAAGGCGCGAACGACCTGATCAAGCTGAACATCGGCGGCAGGATCTTCCCCCAGGTCCTCCGCAGCACGCTCTGCCAGGCCCCGAGCGACACCCTCTTCACCCGGATCTTTTCGAAGAACCCAGGGGGCCCCCCCGGCTACCCCTCCCGCTCCAAGCCCCTGGTCCACTACGACGAGGAGGGACGGATCTTTCTGGACCACGACCCCGAGCAGATGGAAGCCATTGTCAACTTTCTGCGCATGAAGCAGATCGAGGACCCCTCCGATCCGATCGTCGAGCCCCCGGAGGTGCCCGCCCACAAGCGCCGGGACTTTCGGCGCCTCCTCCACCACTTTGGCCTGACGGCCTTTTTCTTTTATCCCACAACGACAGTGGCAGCAACAGCAACAATGGCAACAGCACCAACGGCGGTGGCCCGGTCGGTCCGAAGCATGTCCATCGACGAGGACCCGCATCCCCACCGTGCCCCGCACGGGCTCGTCGGCATCGTCTCGGTCCCGGGGGACGGAAACGAAAACGAAAACGACGACGACGACGACGACGGCGCCCTGGTCAGCGACCACTCCACCGTGGGCTGGGACACCGACGAACCGCTCCGGCGCGACCGGGACGCCCCCGCTCCCTGCCCGCTGGGGTACGATTACTGCTACGGCTAGACCGGGGCTCCCATCCGGTGGCGCCAAGAAAGAACCCATTTTGATACAATTTTTTAAATACTGCGCACGAATAGACGAAACGAAACGAAACCAAACCGGTGCGGTCCTTTCGAGGGAGTCTATACAAAATACTAGAATAGAATACCACACAATGCAAAGGTACGAACGTTGCGCCATGCCATTCGGCGACGACGACACACTGCTGCCGCACCACATGGTTCCACGGCAGCGGCCCACGGCCGTGGACACCGCCGGTAGCGGGCTCGGGTGGGTTGTCTTGTGTTGTCTTGTGTTGTGTTGTGTTGTGTTGTCTTGTGTTGTGTTGTTGCTTGGTGCCGGGTGTCTCGGGCGGGGCCGGATCCGTGCTCCGGACGAAAGAAATCATCCGGCGGTGGGCCACCGTGGGATGCGATGCGATGCGATGCAATGCGATGGGACGCGACCCCGGGAAAAGCACTCCATGGCAGCGCCGTGCGATGCCGTACGGAGGGTGCCGGGCACTGGCGAGGCTTTGCATGCTACGGTATGCCACGGCACGGCACGGTACGGTGCATGCCTTCCGGCTTTGCCCGCCGAGCCCGTGCTCGGTTGGGTTGGTTCTTGCTCTCGTTACTGCATCGGCAGGCCTGTTCCGCGGCGCGGCATTCGAGCCACCGCACCGCACGGTACCGTACCGGTGGGAGTGCGTGCGTCGTCGTCCTTTTGCTTTGGCACACCTCGTTCTATGCCGGCCGTCCCGTCCGTCCCGAACCACCTCGTACCGAACCGCATGGTACGCACCACCACAACCGAATGCGTACGTATCGTACCGTACGCACCGTGCGAGTTCCCGCGTCGGGGACACTGCTGTATTGGGATTGCTGTACGGTACTGTACCAAGGAACCGGTGCCGTACGGTACGGTACGGTACCGAACGCACTCGCACTCGTACTCTTGCAGTCCACGAAACGAACGAACCATGATTTTTCTTCCCGCCACAAACACTTTTCGGTTGGTTCGTACGGTTTTCCAAATCAAAATCACCGGAGACTCGCCAAAAATTCTCACGGGTTTGTTACCAATCGAAGGCTTATTTCGTGGACGGGCCCTCAACCCCTGAAGTAGAAAATTATCGTGTGTCACCGTTCCTTTTCGATCCAAGTCCTTTCAAGATCTCGAAGTGGGTTCGTTTTTTTTCAAATACTGTCATTCTTCTCATCCCAAGATAACATTAAATCAAGCATGTACGGGATGGCATCATAATCGTAATATATAAATACTGTAAATCATAATTGTAGAACCTACGGTATGCTGATCTCAGGGCCTATGTTTTTGTTTTGAGAAGAGAAGATTTGGGTTCACTCCTGAGAAGGTATGAAGGGATGGATCGCAGTTGTTCCGCAAGACTCAAATCTCGTTTATTTAAGAGCTCGAAGAGGGTTCGTAAATTTCGTTATAGGATCGTAATCGTAAAATCTCATTTAATGTGCTTATCCCAAGGCCCACATTTTTGTTTTGAGAGGATTTTGGTCCACTCCTGAGAAGGTACGGTATGAAGGAATGAATCGCCGTTGTATTCGTGATTCTGATCGCAGGGCCCCCGTTTTTGTTTTGAGAAGAGAAGATTTCGGTCCACTCCTGAGAAGGTCTGAATGATTATTTAGGAATCGCACTTTTTAAAACCCGCGCACAGTTAGGTCTTCGAAATCAATTGGTACATTACCTACAGAAACATTTCTGGTGGGAGACCAGCTCCTCGCATTCCGGAACACGTTCGAAGGACATCAAGAGTACACTATGGTCGTCGTGTCAATCCCGATTTATTTTCAGCGGAGAGGATGCGATGCACCAATTTTTTCATTTATCTACCCCGGACCATCAAGTTCTCATCCCAAAAATCCGTCTTATCGCTCTCATCCCACTGCCGAGCCGAGAATATGGAACAGGACGCACTAAGTAAGAATTTTTCATTTAGGAACCCCAAAGAATTCAATTCTTGAAGAATTCTCAAGGCAAACGCTTTGAAAAGCTCGGGTCTGAATTTGCGGATGGCTGCAAGAAAATAATGCATTTTAAACCGGAGACGTGACATTGCCGATGCATTTTGCATTTTGCTCGCTTCGAACTTTCAATCACTTCCTCTCACAATTCGGAAATTTGAACCAAACCAAAGCCATTCCAATAAATTGAGTAAAACGAAAGTATCATCGACAATTTGATCATGATGTTTTCGAAACTATCTGTTGCTGCCCTATCCCTGGGCAGAATGTCCTGGCCGGTCCAAGCGGAGGACAAACCATCCATTGGGCTCTATGAGCTAATGACGCTCGGGGAGCCACTCGAACCCATTGTCGAAGTGACGGAGTTCGAGCCGTTGACGGGACGCGTCTTTATTGAAGCGCATCCGGATATGAAAGGCTCCGTGGCAGCATCGGTTTATATACCAAAAGACGAAACTTCACCGTGTGCCGACGGACAATTTTATGGTTCGAGTGGGGAGGAGGGAAGCGACGAAATTGCCTTTGATGCAGATGCCGACATTCCCGATGAAGTCGAAGGAAAGACAAAAAATGGAAGCCTAGGTATGTATCAATCCCGTATTAACACAATTCTTTGTCCCTGCAAACACTTTCATCAAGACTAATAGTTTCCGCCTTTGTTGTTCTGTAGGTGCCATCACGTTTGAAATCAACGATCCCATGGAGTCACCTTTCTACAGCGGAAATGACGACGAAGGGGTGGTCAACATGTGTAAGTCATTTCCAAGACTCTAAATATCTTCTTGTTTTGTCTGCGTGGCACAGTCTTTCTTGCATCATTGTCACGATCATCTAATTGTTGATTTTGGTTTCATGATTAATTTATATACATATAATATATATACTATACATGTATATTTGTATGTATAAATGTGTGCGTGTGTGTATATATCTATATATAAAGGTATTTCTGCTGAAATCAACGGTGGGGACGACTTGGGTAATCAACTGATATCATATGTTGATACCCATCTGACGGTACAGGTCATTCATGGATCGATTTTTGCATCCTATGGGCAAAACGTCCAACTCTCGTCGCTTGAACCCGGTTCCGCCGAAGAACGCATTGATAATACTGTTCCTGTGGAAACTGAAATTGTAACCAAAAAAGAATTTGAAGAGAAGGAGTCGTATAGGGTTGGTATGGACTTTTCGATCTATGCCTATTTAGAACAAGAGCAAAAGGACAAGGGATGGTCAATTGTTGGATTTGACGAGATTCTCTGCGGTGGAGAGGTGTTGAAAGCATCGGGGGAGGATCCTGGGATCTTGACGGAAATTTCAACGGATTCTTCTCTGCTTCACGATGCGCCTGACGACGAGGGCGCCTATTTTACAAGCGTTGTTCTTCCGGCTTTTGAACCAACGGAGGATGGTTCTAGCGAATTTCTTTGCGAAGGGAAAGTCAAACTGAAAAACAACAATCGGCCGCCCGCCACCTGTGCCAAATATAACGATGATACGAGAGAACACTTTGGGAATACGGAAATATCCATCGAGGCATATTTCATGGATTTCGAATGGATTGCATCAGAGTGTTATGCACATTGTGAATCAATGTATCGGTTCAACGTGGCACCTGATCCTTCTTCACATCTCATTCTGGTGAATCAATGCCATACAGGGGATCAAAGATGCGTGTGCAGTAGTATTCCCGACGACACAGCACCAATTGACGCAGAAACAATCGATGGCTGCGCTGTGCCTCAACGAGAAAATGGCGAAGAGGTTTTTTCGTGTTTGGGATCTGAACGAACAGAAGAGGATTTTTATGTCCTCCGAGGTAGTGATGTTCTTGAACGACCCAGGCGACCCGCTGTTACTTGTTTCGATCCCGTGAAATGGCCTTTTTATGAAAACGATGCGCCTTTTATGATTGAAATAGGAGAAAAAAGCTACGAGGAGTTGGCAGAAGAGTGCTTACTTGAATGCGCCAAAACACGACAATCATCTCTAGTTCTGGTTTCCGGTCTCCCCATGCCGGGTTGCCCGAAACCCGACGAAGACAAATTCGAGTGTATGTGCTCCGAAATCAACGATGAACTAACACCACATTATAACGAAAGACTCGGCGCTGAGACGTGCTTTGCGGAGGGAAATGGATGCGGATCAGATTTAGCAATCCGAAGCGATGCCAAGTTCCCCCTGCGACCGCGGGTCACCTGTGTCGACTGGCATAACAATTTGGAATATTTTGGTAACTATTACGTTAATTTGGACCATCTTGACTCAATGGATTTCGAAACTGTCGCATCGGCGTGTTTCAACGTCTGTTTAGTTCATGGTTTTGCGTATCCAGATGTTGGGTCCGATGATACTGTTTTTGGGGTTGGGTTAGCACCCTATCCCCGACCTGCTTTTCAAAGCCTCATTCTGGTGAATCAAAACGCAATACATGATGGTAGCCAGCAATGTGTGTGCACTAGTGTTCCTGACGACACGCCGCCAATGGAACCAGAAGAAATCGAAAACTGCAGTCTGCCTGAAGAGATAGGTCCTGTCATCGATGACATGGAAGATTATTTTGTCCTCAGAGGCAGTGATCTTGTAGACTATTTCGACCGATCCGATGTTACCTGTTTCGACCGCGGCGACAAGAAGCTAATGACGAGCTACTACGATTACAGATTCAACGGTCAATTTTTGGAAGAGCAAGAGCAAGAAGTTCTTGTCGAAAAAGGAGACAAAACGACCAAAGAGTTGACAATCGAGTGCCTCGAAAAGTGCCGAAACAATGATAAGTTGCCAACACCTTTTTCTTCGGGTCTAGTTTTTCTTGAACACTATCTTCCGGAATGCGCGCCTCCGGAGGACGACCAAATTCGTTGTGTGTGCTCCGGTTTACCCAATTGGTTTCCATCATTTAGAGAAGAAACTCAAACCTTTGCCCAGTGCGTTGAAAAACCGCATGGATGCGGCTCAACCTTCATAATCAAGAGCGATGCTGCGTTCCTCCAAGACCAACCGACAGAAGGCGACGATACAGGAGGCGACACCCAGCCAGAGGAAAAACAGCAAGAGGTAAAAGGGGTTGGCCGCCGCCTCCAAGACACCGGTGCCGGGGCCGCGGTGCTGCCCGAAACCACGGCGTTTTCGGCCACCGTCACCGTGTCCCGGACCGAAGGGGACGGGCTTGGCGGCCTGTGGGCCCCCGCGGAAGGCATCGCCGGGCGTGCTTCGACCGTCGCCGCCACCGCCGCGGTTGCCGCCGCTTTTGCCGTGGCGATCTGAGGAGGGAAAGGACGACGCCGCGATCAAACTATACGTTATAGCGCAGTATTGGGTTGCCGCACCAGATCGCTTCGTGGTGTGTCGTTGGTTGAGAGCACGAGAGGAGATTCGAGACACCCGGAAGGCCTGATTGGTACGAAACAAAACAACTGCGCATGCTTTTGCATGATATTAATAACATACATGAACAAACGTACTAGAAGTAATTATTTAGAAAACAATGAAATCCGTGTTTTGGCGCGAACAAACACCACCAACGGCGTTGCTCGAATTCGCATCCGTACCGTAGTACTTGTAGTCCGTAGTCAGTAGCCCGCGGGGTTTGGTGGCTTGGTTCGTTCTGGTTGTACCGTGGGCTGCGCTGAGGTTGCGGGGGTCGGGCCGGGCTGGATCGAATCGAATGGAATGGAATGTGTTGCGTTTTTTCGAGGGGGATGGTCGCATCCCGAGTGAAGTGGGAACACCAAAACCCCGGTTTTCATTTTTGGAAAATAATGGTCGATCTTGTACATACTTTACCGTATCCTCTTGCATCCATGAACTAGAGATATACGAGTAGTAAACGACCATACGTATCTGGGGTAGTATTCGTACCATCTGCATGGTTCATGTGCGGCATGCTTTACCGTACGGTAAGGTACGAGACTATGTTTTCTTCCATTGATCGGCATGAACCATGAACCATAGAGAAAAAAGGGTACCTACGGTACGGTACTCGTACTCGTACATATGACACATGATTGCGAATTTCGAGTCCCCCCCCCGGCAGCCGGGATCGGGAGGGAGGCTTTCCACTGCGGTCCGTCCTTGAACCAACGTCGAAAAGGCAAAAAGCAAAACCACCGCAGAGGAAACGACGCAAGCGCGCCATCCTTGTTTCCAATCTGTGTCTGTATTTTGCATACGATTAGCATCCGTACGGAATGTACGTACTAGTACTGCAAGGAACGATTGGGAGTATCGTACGTATATATTGTACCGTACCGTAGCGTACGCACGATACCTATGAGTCCTCTCGTATCTCCAGCTACCATCGAACTTCGGCCTCTCTGCCTGTCCATTAGAAACATTCGGTTCATACGGTACCAATTACTGTACGGTACACGATACTTTTGCGGCACGGAATGGCAGTCGATGGGCATGGCAGCGGCAGCGGCAGCGACAACACACCGAACATCCTACCATACACCCAGCCTTGGCTACTTTTGTAGCTAGCGGCCACCAGCAACCGCCTCCTCTCCCCGCCGGAGCAACACAGGCAGGGCAACGCCAACGGCATTGGAAAAGACAACCCGGCACAACACCACACCACACCACACCACGCCACACCACGCAACACCACGCAACACCACGCCACACCACACCACGCCACACCACGCCACCCATCCCCAAACCAACCCGGCACGGCCCCGTCCCCCCCGATGATCCTCCGGCGGATCCGTCCACCGCCGCGCACGCGCCAATGGGGGATTCCGCCCCCCTGCCAAGGAGAGCGGCGGCGGCGGTCCTCTGGCTCGCTCCGTGCCCCCGCCTCGGAGCCCCGGCCGTGTCCGTTTCCATGGCCGTGTCCATGGCCGTGCCCGCGGAGGGGAGGCCTTCCGGCCGGGGGCAACCCCGGAGCCGTGCGGTGGTGGTCCTCCCCGGCGCCGCGGGCCCCGGAACGAGCCACCGATTCGGAGGCAGCAACCACAACGACGGCAGCACCCATCGACTCCGAAAGCACCAACACCAACGGCAACACCAACACCCACACCGATGCGGGGGAAAAGAGCATCGAGGAGCGGTACAGCCGGAAAACCCCCCTCGAGCACGTCCTGCTGCGCCCCGGAATGTACGTGGGGCCCACCGAGCGGCTCCCGCCGGCGGACTGCTGGGCGATGGACCCGCTGCCGCCACCGGTGGTCCTGCCCCCCCCGGGGAAGGACGGGCCGATCGCAAGGGGGGGCGATCCCTTGCTTCGGCCACCCCTTGCCCCCTCTCTGGTCCGGAGGGAGGCCGGCCTGGTGCCGGCCCTGCAAAAGATCTTCGACGAGATCCTGGTCAACGCGACCGACAACCACCTCCGGCACCCAAAGACCTGCAACAAGCTGGAGGTTTCCATCGATCGGGGGGACCCCTCCGAGGGTCGGCCCGCGTCGGTCTGGATCTCGAACAACGGAACCGGGATCCCCCTCGAGGTCCACACCACCGAGGGGATCTACGTCCCCGAGCTCCTCTTTGGGCACCTGCTGACGGGGTCCAACTTCGACGACGGCGAGAAGCGCCTCACGGGGGGCCGCCACGGCTACGGGGCCAAGCTCGCCAACATTTTCTCCGACTCCTTTGTCTTTGACGCGGTCGACGCGGAGAAGGGGAAAAAGTACACCCAGGCCTGGAGCGGGAACATGTCGGTCGCGGGACCGCCGGAGCTCGAAGAGCTCGGGGAAAAGGCGGCCAGCGGAACAACACCCGCACCGGCATCCGAGAGCTACACCTGCGTTTCCTTTTGCCCGGACCTCCCCCGGCTCACGGGGGACCCGGCCGCGGCGACCATCGACGACAAGGACTACTCCGTCATGTGCCGCCGGGTCCTCGACGCCGCGGGCTGCGCCGCCGGGGGCCTTTCGGTCTACCTCAACGGGACCGACGTCTCGATGGCCTCCTTTGGGGAGTACGCCCGCCTCTACCGGGGGGAGGGGGCGGCCCCGGTCCGCTTCTGCACCCCCGGCCCCCGGTGGGAGGTCGGGGTCGGCCTCTCGGAGACCGGGTCGTTCGAGGCGGTCTCCTTTGTGAACGGCATGGCCACGCCGCGGGGGGGGACCCACGTCCAGGCCATTGCCCACCAGGTGGCCAAGAGGGTCCACGAGAAGGCCTGCAGGGCCGATCCGGGCCTGTCGGGGGTCCTGACGCCCGGGATGGCCAAAAAGAGCCTCTTTCTGGCCTGCAACGCCTACATCGAGAACCCGTCCTTCGACTCGCAGATGAAGGAGTGCCTCACGTCCGGCCCGCAGACCTTTGGGAGCTCCTGCGCCCTTCCCGAGCGCTTTCTCAGGGATCTGGTCAAGCCCCTCGAAAAGGGCGGCCCCGGGATCGTCGAGGAGGTCCTCCGCGCCGCCAGGGGCAAGCAGCAGGCCAGCCTCTTCAAGCAGGTCGGGGGGAAAAAGACCAAGCGGCAGCTCCTGTCGATCCCCAAGCTCGAGGACGCCCACGAGGCCGCCTCGGGAGCCTCCTCTTGCTGCACCCTCATCCTGACGGAGGGGGACTCGGCCAAGGCCCTGGCGGTCGCCGGCCTGGAAAACATCGGCCGGGACCGCTTCGGGGTCTTTCCCCTCCGGGGCAAGTTCCTGAACGTCCGGCACGCGACGGTCGACCAGCTCTCGAGGAACGCCGAGGTCAAGGCCCTGGTGGCCATCCTCGGCCTCGACTTCGACAAGGAGTACCGGACCAGAGAGGAGCGGGAAAGCCTCCGGTACGGCCGCGTCATGCTCATGACCGACCAGGACACGGACGGGTCCCACATCAAGGGCCTCGTGATGAACTTTTTCCGCCACTTCTGGCCCGGGCTGCTGCAGCCGGCAACGAGCGGGGAGTCCACACCTGGGGTGGAGCAGGAGGAGGACCAGGACCAGGAGCAGGACCAGCAGCCGTTCCTCTCGTCCTTTCTGACGCCGCTCCTCAAGGCCACGAGAAAGGGGAGAAAAGCCGAGACGCTTTCGTTCTATTCCATGGCGGAGTACAACGCGTGGAGGAAAGGGCTTCTCGAGAACCAGGACGCCAGCGAGAGCATCGGGAACTGGAAGGTCAAGTACTACAAGGGGCTCGGAACGAGCACGCCCACCGAGGCGAAGGAATACTTTGCCGACTTTGACAAGCACCACGTAAGGTTCCGCTGGAACTCGAACCGGGACGGGGAGCTCCTCGACAAGGTCTTTGACAAGGCGAGGGCCGCCGACCGCCGGGATTGGATCGAGACGGTCTACGACCCGGACGCCACCGTGTCCTACGACGCGACCCGGACCGGCAACTCGCTGACCTACGAGGACTTTGTCAACAAGGAAATGATCCATTTCTCCAACAGCGACAACGTCCGGAGCATACCCAGCGTGGTAGACGGGCTCAAGCCCTCCCAGCGGAAGGTCTTGCACGCATGTTTCAAGAGAAAACTCAAATCCGAGATCAAGGTCGCCCAGGTAAGGAAACGGTAGAGCAACTCAACGGTGCCGTGGAGCGTCTTGTGTTCGAACCGACCGCGTTCCAAGCTTGGACGAGGGGGGACCGAGACGGAAGCCAAAGAGACACTGGCACCCGCAATCGATCGATGCAGTGTTCTTTGTTCCCGGCCTCATGTTGCGTTTCGTTGCGTTGCGTTGCGTTGCGTTGCTTGTTGTATTTCTTGTTCGTTTCATCGGCAGCTGAGCGGGTATTGCGCGGAACACACCGCGTACCACCACGGCGAGGCTTCTCTGCAGGGCACCATCATCGGGATGGCGCAGGACTTTGTGGGTTCGAACAATCTCAATTTGCTGACCCCTTCGGGGCAGTTTGGTACCCGACTGGCCGGGGGCGAGGACGCGGCGTCTCCCCGGTACATATTCACGCGTTTGTCTCCCGTCTCTCGGTACTTGTTTCCGGAAGAGGACGACATTCTCCTCGACTACCTAGAGGAAGACGGCCAGCGGATCGAACCGAGGTTTTTCTGCCCGATCATTCCCCTGCTACTAGTGAACGGCTCACAGGGAATAGGAACCGGTTGGTCGACGTTTATTCCACAGCACGATCCGATCAGCGTTCTGGACTATGTTCGAGCAAAACTCGACGAAAGCCTCCACCTGCCCCAGATCGAGCCGTACACCAAGGGGTTCCAGGGAAGAATCGAGCGCACGGAAAATGGGTACAAAAGCTACGGGTCGATCAAAGCGCTCAACAAGCGTACAGTCGTTATCGACGAACTACCAATTGGGGTTTGGACTAATAGCTACAAGGCTCTTCTATTGAGGATGCAAACGAAGGGGGCAATTGTCGACTTTAAGGAAAATCACACCACCACAAAGGTGTCGTTTACAATTCGGCTGAAGCCGAGCCAGATGATTAGGATGGAACAAACGGGTTTGGAACATGCTTTCAAGCTGACCTCGAATCTGCTTCTGACCAACATGAATGCCTTCAATGCCGACGGTTTGATCCAGAAGTTCGACTCTCCGGAATCGATTGCCGATGCTTACTTTCCTACCCGATTATCGCTCTACGACGACCGGAAGTCGGTCCTTACGTCCGAAATGAACTACAAGTCCGAGGTTCTGAAAAACAAAGCCCGATTCATCCAACTCGTATCGGACGGGAAAATTCATCTTGTTGGTGGCCAAATGACCGAAGAAAAGACCGTTTCTGAGCTCACATCTTTTGGATTCAGAACGGTGGAAGAATTAAATTCGCTTCGGAACAACAACAGCATTCACGACAAGCTCGCAGGCTGTGACGTCGGTCCGAGCGAAAACGACGAAGTGGTGGAAGAAAATTACAACGGCAAATCTTCGTTCGATTACCTCTTCAAAATGCCACTGTCTTCCCTCACGAGCGACAGAATTTCGGCTTTGATGAAGGAGGCAGCAGAAACGGAATCGAATCTAAACGATATTCGTGGTTTGCGCTCGGAAGAACTTTGGTTATCAGATTTGGATAAACTTGCCTCTCGTTTGTAAAACATCCATGGATCCGGGACGGTGATCAAGAGCTAAAGGATTTCGCGCCGGTATATGAACTATTCCTGAGTGCTCACTTTTGCTAAGAGTTGCAGCAGACCCATGATACTGTCATCGCTGGCGTTTTCCCAGGAATCCACTGATAGAAAATGCGCGAGCATTTCCCGTTCTACTCCCACCAATTTCAGGATTTGCTTTGTTGCTTCTGGCAACGGCCGAATAAATTTCCTCGCCCTCATGGTTTGGATAATTTCTTTGGCACGATCGATGACGGCATGGCTCACTCCGGCATTCTTTGCACAAACAAGGCCGGCTGACGAAGAGGCGACACCCTTTTCCAGCTTGAACAAGGGCGAAGCACCGTCCTCTTCCCCTTCCTTCAAATGAATCGTCATTCGAGAAGCTTGAATGCCCTCTTCGCCGTCTTCGATGACATTCATGGTAAACATCTCCAGAAAATGGGTTACGCATACCGTTTTGCATCGGATGGTCGAAAGCCTTTTCAAAGCGGCCCCCAGTATTGCGATTCCCGACGCGGGGTTGGTCCCCTTTCCAAATTCATCGACGAGGACGAGCGATTTTGGCGTTGCCTTTAGAAGAACGGCAGCCATTTCGGTGAGCTCCAATTGATAGCTCGATTGGGGTCTACTGCAGGTCTCGATAGTCGAGACGCGTGCGAAAATTTGGTCTGTGATGGAAATCATTGCTCGCGTGCACGGAATAAACGATCCGAGGTGTGCCATGTAGACGAGGAGTCCAACCTGTCGCATGTAGCAGCTCTTTCCACTATAATTCGGTCCGGTAACGCACAATATTTGCTTGGAATCATCAATCTGGACATCGTTGCTGACGAAATCGGTGTCGCAAATAATCTCTTGGAGCGGATGACGGCCGTCACGGATGTATATCAGCTGCTTCCGTTGCGGATGGTGTTGCTGCTGGTGACCTCGAGGTTGAAGATCTTCATCGTCGTCAATCAGCTGCGGTCGAGTGAATCCCAAGTCAGCAGCGCAATCGGCGAACGAAAGCAAACAATCCAAGGTTGACAAAGCCCTGAAGCATTCTCGAAGTTCGTTTTCCGTGTCGAGGATGTTTTCCTCTAGCTCTGTTACGATCATTTGCTCTGTGTCTTTAATCAAGCCATCCAAGTCACCAATTTCTTCGTCCATCCTTCTCATCTCGTCGCATTTGAAAAAAACCTCACCGTCTTGAACAAAAATCTGTTCAAAGTCTGGGGGCAATGGGGACGTGGGGTCTTTGAGTGTCCGAAGAACAAGGGTTTCGTTTAAGCCTACCAGGTATCCAACCTGTGGTATGAATATTACTGTCAGCCCATCGAGCTGCTGACCGTATTTATGGTAGAGATCCTTTGCTGCTTCTGCCAGGGTTTCTTCGAGACATTCGTATTGTTCCTTCCAGCCATCCAACTGCTCGTGAAAGCCATGACGAATCACGACCGAGGCTCCCTTTTCCTCCAAGGTTAGTTCACTATCGATGGTATTTGTGATGCGCTCCCTCAGATCGATCATAACTTCCACATTGCACTCGATACAAAGTTCCGAGAAGAAGGAGTACTGGTGATCACACGAGAAACTGTTGGGGCCCTGTTGTGGCGGAGCTGTTGTATGATTCATTGACGCCAGAAGATCGTTCCGGAGCACGTTGCCAATCGAAATAGCTGCGGAGAGTGTCGTGGTTAGGACCAGGAAATCAGTTGGCTTGACGGTGCATTTTTGGATTCGCATCAAGATTTTGTCCACCGGACCGACCTTTTGCAAAAGTCCGATGAGAACACCAACCGATGCCTGCATGCTTGGCTGCAGGAATAGTTCAATAGCGTCTTGGCGTGTCTGTATGTTTTCCAGATTGGTCAATGGCTTGAGCATCCACTCCCGCAACAATTGCTTCCCCCCTCGACCTGGTTGTTTGTTTTAACAAAGCAAAAAGTTGAATCGCCGTTGTTAATGTTTGGACGGAGCGAAACGGAAACGAAAAAACAAGGCAACCAAAAGGAACGTCGAGCTGTTAGTCAACGTGCGAGTTCGGAACAACGAAGTCTAAATCGGTCACTAAGATATGGGATTGCGTGTGGTCATTGGTCGATTGTTGGAAATACCCTTGCGAACAGTTTTCCGTTTCGCTGTTCCCACTTACTCTTGGTACGATCGAGCAAGGAGTATAGACTAAAACCTTCTTTGGAATGCCCGTGTCCCTTGGCAATGAGTGGATGGCGTTCGGTGGAAAAGATATTGAGCGCCGAAAACGTCGACGGAGAAAGGATCAAATACGACGATATTCCAGCCTCGATGATCCTGTTAACGGTGATGGTGTTCCCTTCCTCGAGTTGGAAGACTGTTTTCTGCAGATACGACAAAAGAGCTCCCAGGGCTTGCACCAGAACCTTTGAATCGAAATCGATGACGGCTGCCAAATAATGATAACTGGAAGGGCGATAAAGGGTCTGTGTGGATGACCCATCCCGGGGAAAATGCCTATCGTTGTCCGGGTGATTTCGATATCTACTGTCGCTCCTTCCCATTGCTGCTGCGGTTGCTGATAGTCGTGCTTCGTCCATGGCTCTTTGTTTGAGCATGGAGAGCACCTGCAATTTTTGCAAAATAATACTTCTGCAAGCACGAACGTCAAAGATTCCTGATTTCAACAGACGATACGGAATGGAAGACCGAGGCGAGGGGTTTCCTCCTTCTTGACGGTGATGGTGCCCCTGCTGCTCATGTTCGGTTTCCAGAAGAGGTTGAGGTTGTCGCGTTACCATTTCAAGAAGAGGAATGTTGTTGACGATCCGATTTCTATTCGGTAGTCGGTTTGGAGCCGACATTGAAGGGAAAATATATCGGGAACGAACCAAGTTGTGAATTGTAAAATTGACAAAACAATACGACTGTTAGAGTGTAAAACAACTAATAATATCCTTCGGAATGGCTTTTTGAAAACGATATTTCCTGCGTTGCTCTTTATTTTCGTACTTACCCCACCAAGACCATGTTGGGTCGCGTCGCTTGCAAGAAGCGCTCCACCAAGGATTCTGTCTCGTATCCAGTCACGGCCGCACAGGTTTCCGTCGTGATTTCGTTTCGATCTTCGTTGTAGCAGCAAAACGATATATTAGATCCTTCTTCGACCACCGACATGACGCAAAGGCTTGGTTCCAGTGGAGCGGCTGCCGCGGCGGGAATTTGCCCCGGACTGCTCTGGTTTTGCAAAAGGACTCGTCTGTTGCCGCTGGTGGTGGTTGTGTCCTCGTCGTCGACACCAACTCGCGTTCGCGTTTGTCTCCCACTAGAACGGCTTCGATTCCTTCTGCTGCTGCCTCTGCTGCTGGAGGGTGCACATTTGCCACGACTCGTCAAAGTGCGAACACTCCCGCTTTCGAACGAATAAGCAGATCTCCTGCTTCTCTCGTCGATGTTGTCGTTGTCGTTGTCGTGGTGCGACGCCAAAGAGACAGAAGATTCTCTCCCCGGATCGCAACTCCGGTGGCTAAGCACACTCGCAAGGCTTCTACCGCCAGCACTACCACTGCTACCAATCGAGGTCCTTCTCATTGTTCCGATGGACGGTTGGTTCAAAATGACAATGAACAATGGCTTCGAGAGAGAGAAAGATTGAACGAAAAAAACAATCCGATGAGCTACTTCCACAACGCGCGTGTCTGCACAGAAAAATCCGAGTCCCACTTAGCTCCTTTTCCGTCGTTTTCAATCGAAAGACAGAAAACAAGTGAATACGTAGCTTTCACGTAAATACTCGTACAATGGCAGGGACTGTACGATTGTTTATGGTACGTCGTAGTCGGAGAAAAGAATGTCACAACTGATCACATAACGAAGACAAAGATATAGAATAACATGTTGACCGCCATGGAAAAGCCACCATCATCGCATCTGGAATTATTCATTGATGGCTTGTTGCTCTTTCTAGTTTACCTTTCTATCTTGCAGCCAGGGATCCTCCAATCATGTCATGGCGTTTTCGTCTTAATATTTTTCACTCAGAACTAGTACTAATGACTGTATTCCAGTGCCAAATTATTACCAACACGCTTAGCAGTTCGCCCAACCGGAGCACACCGAGATGCGGACCGGAACAGAACAACGACACAAGAACAATAAAACTGTGGTTGGAGAAGCGAAACGGTGCCGACCCGGAACCTTCTGAATCTACCGTACATATGCTAGTTTCCATTTCACGCCAGGCAGCTTGATCGCAGTGTTATAGGGTTAGTGATTATTCTATTGGGACAGATTGCTCCGGGGTGCCGGTGCTGATGGGACAGCGAACTCCGCGGCACCGGGGATGGCCTTTGGGGTTCGTTGGTTGCCCTTCCACTCCGTTCCGCTCCGCTCCCTTCGTCTCGCTCGGCAACCTCGCTCGCTCACCTCCACAGCTTGAGGGTCTTGTCGAAGCCGCACGTGACGAGGCCTTGTCTCCCGTCCCCCAGGATCCCGGCCCCCGTGACCTTTCCCTCGTGCCCCCGGAGGGTGGCCAGAATCTTCCAGTCCCGTGCCGACCAGACCCTGGCGGTCCCGTCGAAGGAGGCCGAGACGAGGAACTCGCCCCCCCCCACGCCTCCCTGCTCCCGGTCCTGGAACAAGAGCTGCGTGACCAGCCCCGAGTGGGCCGGGACGGAGGAAGAGAGCCTTCGCCTGCGGAGGTCCCAGATCTTGAGGGTCCCGTCGTCGCCCGCCGTGGCGAGCTGGAAGCCGTTGGGGGCGAACTCGGCACAAAAGACGCGCCTGGCGTGGCCCAGAAAATGGTGGACCGACCGTCCGGTGCGGAGGTCCCAGAGCTGCACCACGCCGCCGTAGTCGGTGGTGGAGCACAGGGATCCGTCGGGGTGGAAGCCGACGCCGTAGACCTCCCTGGCGTGCCCGTCTTGGAGGAGGAGCTCGGTCCCGGTGGCAGCGTCCCACATCCTCCAGGTGTGGTCGAAGCTCGTGGTCACCAGGTGGTCCCCCATCGGGTGGAAGGCGACCTTGCAGAGCCGGTTGGCGTGGCCCCTCAGGTGGGCCGCCTCCTCGATCAAGTAGGAAGGTTCGTTCCCCCCGTTCTGCTCCGTTTCGCTGCTTCCGTCCGCGCCATCGTTCGGGCGGACCGTCCACAGCTTTGCCGTCCGGTCGATCGAGGAGGTCGCCAGGACCAGCGGCCCCCCGGCCCTCTGCGGTTTCGTTGCGATCCCCATGATGCGGTCCTCGTGCGCCAGCGTCCGCTCCGCGGCCTGGTGGAGCGAGGCGTCCCAGAGCTTGATCGTTCCGCTCCAGCTCCCCGTGGCCACCAGCGGGTTGGGGTTGCCCCCTGTTCCGGCGAACACCGAGGCGATGCACGAGAGGGGCCGGGGGTCCCCGTACTGGGATCCCTCCGCCCCCATCTTCCGGACGGACCGGTACAGGGAAAGGCAGTCGGTTTCGATCTCGGTGGCCCCTTGGTCGCCGTCACAAGGATCGCCGCTTTCGGCGTGGTCGCTTTCGCCGGCACAAGGATCGCTTCCGTGGACCAGCCGCGCCCGCTTGCGCTGCCACTGGGCCCGGTAGGTCCGCTCCTGGTCCAGCCGGTCCCTGGCCCGGTCCAGGGAGAAGGCCGAGAACCGCTCGCGGGCCTTGACCAGCCCCTGGGACGCCCGGCTGTACTTGGTGATGGCCTCCTCGGGTTCGGCGCTTTCCCCTTTGGTTGCCCCTCGAGCCCCTTCGCGCCCCCCGGGGGCCCCTTCCGAAGCACCCCTCTCCCCCCTGACGAGCTCCCGGGCCATCGCCATCCGCAGCCGGTCCCGGACGTTGGCGGGGTTCTCCCCAAAGAGGCGGACCGGGAGGCCCATGGCCCGCAGCGAGGTGCGGACGTCCTGGGGGAGGGTCGGGACGTCCACGGAAAAGGCCCGGTTCCTGGCCTCCATGTCCAGGAGGGCCTCCTCGTGCTCCTCCCGGCCCCTGCGGGAGGCGGCCGTGAGCTCCATCACCTCGACCCCGGCCGTTGCCACGCTGGAGTTTCCCAGCGCCGTCGTTGGAACCGCCGCCATGGTGTGGTGTGTGGTGTGGTGTGTGGTGTGTGCGATGCGAGATCTCTGCCGGGCCGGTGCTCTTCAATCAATCGTGGTTGCTCTCGCGGTCTTGGTTGTGGCAATGTTGGGATGGTGCGGTGCGTCGGATGGTTGGGATGGTGCCAAAGGAGGGTGCTGGTTGGCTCGACGGATGCGACCATGTGCCGGTACTGTTACTGTTACTACCGGTAGGTCACGAATGATGCTGCGCTTTGTAGCGCCACAAAAAAATCCCTGTTGTCAAACCAAGCGACGTACGCCGTAGGAAACTCTCACTGCCACCACAAAGTGTCGCTACGATGAAGATCTACCGTACGGCATCTTTTGTAACTGCATTTGTTGATGTCAACTCGATTTAGACTAGGACTTCTAGTTATTAGTACTCTAATACAGTATGAAGGTACAGTGATAGGATGACCCCAGAAATCCCGGAGAATGACCGCAGAACAACGGATGCTACTTGTACGCTAGAAGAACGGTACATCGCATCGGTAGTGGGGAATTCCTGACGGTGCGATTCGGCAGTCCTCGGAATTGTTGTACATCATAGTAGAGGTTGTACGAGAACCGAATACAGTAGTCCAAATCGCTACGGTCCCGTGCCCCTCGCATCGTACGAGTGTCGTTCGTACGAGACAAGTAGGAGCACTACGAGTGCAGTACTCGTGCTCGTACTCGTACTCGTAGTACGGTACCATACTCTTGAAATTGAAACGAGTGTCAGTCTCCCCCATCGTTGTTCCTGCCAATTCTTCTTCGTGTTTCTTGTGCTTGTGCTTTTGTGAGTGATTGAGTGAATGCTGTCTGCGCAACACAACACAACACAACACAACACAACGTGCTTGTGACATTGAAGAGTCCATCGAACCAGAGTGACTTAGAGAAACCCAATCGCAGTGCACCGCACCGCACCGCACCGCACAGCACAGAAATCCATTGGACCCAACCGAATCACCTTTGGCAAAGCCGAAGAAACGAGTCTCCGAACCAGAGCTGTCGAACGACGAGCTAGCGCCAAAGCGAACACAAAGGCCCAGACGAACCAGGAGTCCGCGCTCGGAATCGAATCGAATCGAAACGGAGGCAACCAAAGAGAGAAAAGAGACGCATCCCGGATCCCCCGATCGCAAAACAATGCCAACTTTGACCACCGCGCCCGCATCCGCATCCCCCGGCGGCGGGGAGAGGGACAACGAGAGCGAAACCGAAAAGGCGGGAAGCCCCTGCCCCCCGTGGTGCATCTTTGTCAAGACCGTCGGCAGGGGCTTTGAGCGCCGCGGGGATCCGGAAGCGGAACCCTCTTCCGGGAGCGGCCTTCCCCCGGCGGCGGCGCTCTCCTTCTCCGTCCGGGTCCGCCCGGACGACAAGGTCGACTCGCTGCACGACGAAATCGAGGGCGTCACCGGGGTGGGGGCCTCCCAGCAGAGGCTCATCTACCGGGGCCGGCTCATCGGAGCGACGGACGTGGGGGCCGCTGCGAACAGCAGCAGCAACAGCAACAACACTGCAAATGCCTGGGAACGCGGGGCGGAACCCCCGGGGGTCGGAGATCCCCCGAAAGACCGCAAGGCCTCCCCGCCCCCCGGCGACAAGACCAGCACCGACGAAGAAAAGGAATACAGGATAAAGGACATTGTGGGCCTCTGCGACGGACAAACCATCCACCTCGTCCGGAAACGGGACGATGCGAGCGCAACCGCAAAGGCAGCCGCGGATCCGACGGCGAGTCCGAGTGGCGCAGAAACCGCTGGTCGGGAGAACGAGAACGAGAACGAAAACGAAACAAGCAACGAAAACGAAAACGAAACCAGTGGCGGCGCCGATGCGGGCATCGATTCCAACGGAGGCAGCGCCACCACCACCAACGCGGAGAGCGATCGTTCCGGAAGCGGGGGAGCCCTGCTGGCCGCCCTTTTGGGCCTGGGCAGCCTCGCAGAGGGAGCCGGAAGTCCCGTCGGGTTGGGTGGCCCCGAGGCCCTGGCCACGAGCCGAGCCAGCAGCGCCTCGAACACGCCCACCAACAGCAACAACAACGGCACCGGTGCCACCCGGGGCTCGCCGTGGAGGTCCTCTCCCCGGGGAGCCAACCGCGAGGCCTCTGTCGGCGGCTCCCTTTCGCCCCGCCACGTCCGCCGACCAACCTACAGGCTTGCGGCCGAGGACCTGGAGGTCGCCGATCCCGGGCCCATGGAATCCGTCCGGCAGGGCCTCATGACCTTCCGCACCATTCTGGACTCGCAGCCGGCGCTCGGGGCCGGCGGGGAGAGGGCCACCGGAAGCGCGGGTGCAAGCGCAAACGCAAGCGCAACCGCAAATTCAAATTCAAACGCAAGCGCAACCGCCCACCCGCTGCAAACCAACCGCGAGTGGTTCCGGGGCCAGTGGCTCGACGCGAGGGACACGGTCAACCAGTGGCTCGAGGCCACCGTGGTGGACGTCGTCGATCCGGAAGACGTCCTCGGGGACGCCTCGGCCCTGCACACCCACACCCCGCCCTGCGTCCACACCAGGAGGTACGGGACCACCGAGCAAAACCCGCCCCGCCAGCGGAGGGTCCCCAACGTCGACAACGACCTCGCCATCAGCGCCAACGACCTGGAGGGCCGCCTCCGGTTGCTGGTGGAGGAATGCGAACCCGGGGACCCGGGGGAGATCGCCCCTTCGCAATCGGTGGGGATGGACTCCTTCTCCGGCCGGTCCTTCCGGCCCCGGTCCACCAACGAGGGCGTCTCGCTCCTCCTCATCCACTACAACGGGTGGCCCCACCGGTGGGACGAATGGATACGGAGCGACTCGGAGCGCCTGCGGCCCTTTCGGACCCGGACCCGCCACCCGACCATGGTGCGTCTTTTTTTTTTGGCTAGTCCCGTCTCGTCTCGTGTTGCCTCGTTTTGTTGCCGCAAAAGCTCACTTTGTTTGTTGTTTTGTTTTATTTTGTTTCTATTTCGTTTTCGTTTTCGTGTTCAGTCCGCTCTGGCATCCCCGACACCGCAATCGATTCTCAACGAGGCACCCAGAACGAATATTGTTCCGGACGGTGGCGAGGAAGACGACCGCCTGGCGGTGTTGCCGGAGCTCGGCCTTGCACTTTCGAGGGTGAGCAGTGTGGTGGAAAGCCTGGCAAGCCGGGAACACCAATTCCAACAGCGACAATTAAGACGGCAACGAAACGGTGGCGGCGTCGACCACGAATGCGACAACGACAGCGACAGCGACAGCAACAGCAAAAACGACAACGACAACGAGCTGGAGGACCTTCGCCCGGCGTCAAGCCATACAAGCACCGGTACAAAAACGAACGGAAACCGCTGCCGGAGAACCAAGGATGGCCTGCCGTGGATTGCTAGGGATTCGGACTCTGTGCAAAATGGTGGGGACTCGGAAGACAGCGAACACGATCGTTCGATCGCCACCAGCAGCTACGGCGATGGCACGTCCGAACCGCAGCCCAGTAGCCTAGACGTACTGCCGGACTATGACATCCGAAACGAGTTCGAACCGGCCACCCCGGGCAACGACACCGGCGACGACGATGCCGGCGACGAAGCAGCAGGTATTGCCAACGACACCACCACCACCACCACTACCACCTACACCCAGGCAGAGCTCCGGCAGCTCGCGACGCTTTTTGATCGTTTGGGAAGAACCCTGACCGATGCCGCGCCCCACATTGCGTCTCTGGCGGCATCGCTCCCACCGGAGGGAGTCGAAAACGGCCAGGGCAGCAACAGCAGCAGCAACAACAACACGAACAGCGAGGAGTCCACGGAGGATGCCCCGGAAGAGCCGAGCGTCCCGGGCAACGAAGCCTCCGCGGCCCCGCTCGGTGGCCTCCTATCGATGTGGTCCCGCGAACGCGAGCGCCGGCGGCGGAGCCTCGACCGCGACCAAATCACCGCAAGCACGCGGTCCGCGACGCTCCTGGAACCGATCGACCCCGACCACACGGACTTTGCCAGCGGGGTCGTCAACACCACCCGCGGGGAGGTCCGCAGCGGGCCCCGGAGCCGGGCGTCCCACCAGGAAGACCTCGGCAGCCTCCTCGGAACCTACCTGACCGCGGCCAGCCTCGGCAGCGCCGGATCGTCTTCCGGCGACCAAAACGGCGACAGCGGTTCCGGCTTTGCCAGGATCTTGCAGCGCGGGTCGACCGTTGGATCCGGCGACAGCGGCATCGATATCCACATCCACGCCATTGTCACGGCACCCKGGATGTCGCCCGGTGGGATGGGCATTGCCACCCTCGGCGGTGGCGGCGGAGCGTCGCCACCCACCATGGCCACCACCCTCGGGGGCCTCTCGAGGAACATTTTCTCCTCGAGCCTCGGCCGCGGCGGGACCACGGCACCAACGGCGGTGGCGGCGGCGTCGACCTCGCTGTCCTCGGGCATCGTGGAACCCGGGGAAGAAGAGGACCACTCGGACCTCTTCTCCGAGCTGTACTCGGAGACCCCGACCCCCGTCGATCCGAACGGCGCCCGGGCGCTGGGGGAGGCCGGGGACGCCGGAAGCAGCCCGGCACCTTCCACCCCGCCCGGGGACGGGGGGGTTCAAGAATCCCCCCCTCCCGCAGAGGGAAGCAGCACGAGCGGCCGGTCCCCCCGCTCCTCCTCCGAGCGCCGGTCGGGCGTCTTTCGCCTCTTTCGGAGGCGCAGCAGCCGCGGCTAGGAGCAAAGCTACACTTGCGGGTCCGACCCCGCAACGTTGGGCCGAGTCGAACCGTTTCGATTCGTTCGTCCACGCAGGAACGGTTGGATGGATTCATTTTTTCTTATTATTTTTGTATCCTTGGCATTCATTCTACTGTCACATACCACTTTGTAGTTTTTGCCGGCGAGCGGAAGATTAGCTTGGAAAAAGTCTATTAGAATTTCTATGGTTTTGGTTATGATACATGTAACATAGTAGCAGGAAGAAATAAAGCCACGCTTCGTTGTAGCGGCCGCGTGCAACACCGGTATTTGCTTGCTTGGTGTTCTGGCACGGTGCAAGAGGGCGTCGTGTTTTTTGCTTTCATCGTTAGAGCTCGCCCCGCGGCTTGAAGCTCGGCAGCCACGAGAGAATTTTCAGCTGCCGCTCCTGGAGGGCGTCCTCGATGACCTCCTGCGGAATCAGGTTCTTCAGGACCTGCTTCATGAACGCCGCATTGAAGCCCGCGAGGCTACCGTACACCGCGTCCTTCCAGTACCTCCTGAGAAAGTCGCGGTTGTTGTCGGGGTTCATCCCCCGGCGAATGAACATGTAGCTAAAGCCCCAGCAGATGGAGGTCACCAGCGATTCGTATACGGCGGTCCACAGCTTGTTGGGAGAGCTAAAGCCAAAGAGAAATATCCTCTTGGTGGCCGCAGAACGGCTCATCCAGAGGATCACCGAGGCCACGAGGCCCGCCATGTCACCGTTCTCGACGCACTGGAAGAGGGACTCCTTGTCCTTCGAGCAGTCCTGGACGTTCATGAGCTGCTGCTCCACGGCCGCGTGCCAGCCCGGGGCCCTGGCCTGTATCTCTGCAGAGATGGCAATGAGGGAGAGGAACAGCACAAAGTAATTCGCCAGCACAAAGACCACTTGACGCTTTTCCTGGTATGGCCGGGGAAAATAGTGCTGGCGCCCACCGGTGCGCTCTTTGAGCAAGAGGCTGGTGATTTCCCGCAGGCTCTTCTGGATTTGGTCTTCCGGGTGGAGGGATGCCACCTCCAGGCTGGATTCCTTCGAGTTGTTCTCGTCTTCATCGTCATCGTCGTCGTCGCCCGTGTCTTTCGAGCTCTTTTTGTCTAGCAGTTGCTGCTGTTTCTTTTGTGCTTTCTGGTTCTTGGTCGACGGCGGATTTTTTCTTCCATTCTTTGGTTTCAGTTTCAACGGCTCGGTTGGTGCCGGCATGGCTTGGAGGTTGTTCAGGCGTGTTCCCAGCAACGCCAGTTGATTTGCGTTGAGCCCTAGGCCCTTCAAATCCACAGATGCGGGGAAGGGACTGGGGGCTGCGGAGGGCGAGTCGGGCGGCCTGCTGTACTCATAGTCCGAGAATCTTGTGTATTTTGGAGGTGTCATATAGCCGTCGTTTGTGGTTGCGAAGCGAAGCGTAAGCCTTGATCCATCGGGAATGTAGGGGCAAAGAACAATCTCTGCCGACCAATAGGTGATGGCAGTGAAAACAATGAAAATAAGTGAGTGATAAGGTGTTGGAACAACCAACGCAGCCCCGATTTGATACGAAAAAGAAAAAATGCGAAACGCACCTTCGGGTGGATCGGAGCTCTCGTCGAGCACGCGAAAATCCACAAGTTTAATGGAGTCCTTTAGGCCTAGTTTTCGGCGCACGCTGTTTTGCACGTGCTCTTGTAGCTCTATAGATGTTGTACCTTCGTACCAAGATACAGTCAGGGTTCCCCGGTTGGTCCATTGGTCTGACTCTGTCTCCGCGCCGGTCGCCTTCCCGTATTCGACGATCGGTGACGAAATATCCGACGAGGGACGCTTTCGGAGTATTCCTTTTTTTCGGCGGAACGACAAGAAGCCGCTCTTCTCGGGCTCGTTGTTGCTCAGGGTACCTGCTTTCACCTGTTCCCAGAGGTGGAGGTGAATCTTCCGCTTGCCCCCGGGCATTGTGGCAACCTGGTGTGGAATCTGAAGCATCGACTGCGGTGTCGGTTGGTGTTGCTGCTGCATCGGCTGTTGGGTGAACGAAGGCCTTTGGGGGAGTGGATGCTGGTACCCGTTGTGTGGAGTTAGGCGGGCCGGCGGCGGTTGGTGTAGTCCCTGCATCGACAACGAATCGTAGGAACCTACACTCCCAATTTGAGGCACTACCAGTGGGGGCAGCAGCGGAATAGGAATAGGGTCGTAATCGGAAAGGAGAAGATCCGGAGATAGAGTATCGGGAGTGGTACGAGTGGCGTGGGCAAACATGTTCGAAGCGATCGGTTTCACTGCGACACCACCGCCGCTGTTGTCGACAGCTTTAATGTTCTTGGTTTCCAAGCCCATGCCAGATGCCTCGCTTGCTGGCGTTTGGGAAGATTCGAAGGGTTGTTGTTCGTTTTCCGATCCACCGATGTAGGCATTCGGATCCCTATCATTGGTACTAGTTAGCGTCGTGGATTCCATTGCTTCGTGATAGATTTGTTGGTCCATTGCTGCTGTCTCCATCGGCATGCTTGGTACTGATTCTAATTTATCCCCGTCACTTGAGTTTTCCTTCTTAGCCCCTGCCCCCTCTGGTTGCACACCGTTGTCCTTTGGCTTTGTAGGTGTTTGTTCGGCCGGTGGGTGGTGGTTATCGGTAGTTTTTTTCATCTGTTGTTCTCTCTCGACTGCATGTTTCGATCTTGCACGTTTCACCGCCGATCCTGGTGGTTCACGGGGTATCTTTCTCGGCGACCTCGACCGCGACCGCTGCTCGTGGTCAGTTGGATCGGCTTCTAACATTGGAGACGTGACATTGCTGCGGTTTTCTGTGATTTCCAATGGCGTTGGTATCGGCGGCTGTTCTCCTGCTGCAACGTCCTTTTCATCCCCCGAATCTGCCAATACTACGTCTAGCATGGAGTCGTCGAACCTCCGACTGTGTTTCCCCTTCGGAATCGGAGTTGTTCCTTCTGGTTCGAGACACGCAGCAGCGCTTGTATCGACAGCGACAACGCCGCCATCCAAATCTGCGTCAACTTCTGGATCTGCATCAGCGTCAACCTTTGCGTCAACATCTGTAACATCTGTGATCATACCTGCGTCACCGTCCGCGTCGACATCAGAGTCTGTGGAACTCGCGCCCGTCGCATCATCGTCGGATTCGATCGGAAACCCGATAGATTCCACAACTTCCGTCGTATTTTCGTCGTGGAAGGAGATCGATTTGTTGGGGGCATCTTCGGGTGTCGTTGCTGCCGTTGGGTCAGTATTGGGTTGGTCCCCATCGGAAAGAATCATCGTCGTCTCCGACTTCTCTGTTGTTTGGGGCTCTTCGTATTCGACTGATTCGATTTTCTCTTCGAGATGCTCAATGGGAATCTCGGTTTGAGTTGTCATTCTTTCCGCTCTGTCCTCCGGAAAAAGGAGAAGAAGTATCCACTACTGATAGTCTCTGCATACATGTATGCCCAAGCGAGGCAGTGAACAAATACAACTGGTGAGTCCCTGCGTCCCAAAAGATGCCATCTGGTCGAGAATTTTTTTCGTGTTACACGTTTACGTGTTCCTTCGAGTTCACACACTACGGCAATAGCACGAATACGAGCCCAAAACCTACGCACTGTACGGTAGATGTGTACTGTATCACAATAATTTTTATCGTTTCACTCATCTCAAACACACACACACACACACACACACACACACACACACACACACACACACACACACACACACACATCATACTCGTACCGTTACGAGTACTTACACACGTGAACTAAAAATTTCAACCTCGGAATTCAGTACTAATAGTACTGTAGAATTTTTCCGCATCTCAAAGGCCATAATTGTCACGTTCATACGTACGGCAACAACACCAGATGTCAACTTCAAACTGAAAAAAACTACTCAACCCTCGCACGGCATTTACGTACCATACTACCGTACGAGCAACGAGTACGAATCCAAGACCCAAACCCAATCATAGTTTTACTGTTGACACGCGGAGTTGTCAAGAGAGTCCCATAACCTAATGGAAATTCGAAAGAATTTTTTAGTGAGTCCCTCAAAAACTGGTTTTGGTGCCTATCTCGTAATGTTTTGAAATGTTCCCCCCGATTTAGCATCGACCCATTCTCCCCCCTGTGCAGTTTTACGCACCTATGAAAGGGCTATTGAAAGTTTGAATCGAAATCGAAACCACGGATGCGGCAAGAGAATCATCATTCTCAACGGCATCGCTGCTTCTTGTTTTTTGTTTTGTTAGAAGTATTTTGTTACAGCACTGGCGTTCGTAGTTCGCACATTACGTCCCAATTACTACGACCTCGCGAGAGGTTATCGGACTGCCATAAGTGTTCCAGTGCTCGCACATCGGAACTTGCCAACTGCCAGGAACAGATTTATTGTCTACGAACGCTACGTATGGAACCTACTGAGATGATATTGTTTTGTTTTTGACATTGAAAGGTGCAAGTCCTAGTCGTAGTCGTTGGAACCAACCCAAAAAAGCTGGGCTGACCGCATTGCATTGCATTCAATTGGATTGGATTGGATTGGATTGGATTGAACTGAATTGGACGAATAAAGCACTGTTGGTTTCCGACATTATATCTCCTTGCTTCCTTGATATTGAAGGCGCAGGCAAGTGCTTTACTCAGAGACTTCAGCACTCAGTACCTGAACGGACCAAAAAATAAATCAAATCAATCCAAAATAGCAGAATCGTCATGGGGTGCTGCGAGTCGGTAGAGGTCGATAAAAATGGCAACCAACGCCGCAACTCGGCGTCCTCGATGTTTCAGTCGTCTGCCTTTTCCAAAGGTAGAAAGCGTGGGGAAGAAACCGCTCTCCGAAAGGTGGACTGCATCGACGAGTCGAGGGAAATCATCTGCGGTGGGTTGCGACTGAAGTACGCCTACTTCAGCCAGAGGGGATACTATCCGGACTCTCCCAACAAGGCCAACCAGGACGCCTACAGTGTAACGGAGCGGGTCGGATCGCCCGATTCGAACGACGCATTTTTTGCGGTCTACGACGGACATGGTATGAACGGAGACCAATGCGCACAGTACGCCAGGGATAAGCTGCCGCTTTACCTCGAGAAGTACATGAACAAGGCAAAGGCAAGGGAAGCAAAGAAGCCGGAAACCAAGATGTCCGTCAAACAATCCTCGAGGAACATACAGAACGACTTCAATCCCCTCGCCCACATCGAGCTGTCGAAGGAGCAGATGCAGAAAGCGTGCACCCGTGCCCACGTGGACTGCAACAACGCCATGCACCAGGACATCGACGACAGCCTGTCGGGAACAACCGCGATCTCGGCCTACATTCACGGCCGTCGGAACCGCGTCACGGTTTGCAATGTGGGTGACAGCCGGGCGGTCCTCGGAAAGGCGACCCAGTCGACCGGCTACGAGTACGGCCGGGGGCAGGCGCTCAAGGCCTATCCCCTCTCCCGTGACCAGACGCCTTACCGCAAGGACGAGCGCATACGCATTCGGAAAACGGGTGCCCGGATTCTCTCCCTCGACCAGCTGGAAGGATTGGAGCCGATCTACAACCGGGACGACGATCCCGACAACGATGAGGGCGATATAGAACTCGGCGAGGAGCTAGACGAGGGTGGCGATCCGCCCCGCGTGTGGAGTCCCGACGGGGACTACCCCGGGACAGCCTTCACCAGATCTCTGGGGGATGCCATGGCCGAGGAACTCGGAGTTTTTGCCGAACCCGAGATGCTGACGAGGGAGATCAAACCTGAGGACCGGGTCATCGTCATTGCGAGCGATGGGATTTTCGAGTTTTTGACCAACCAGAGCGTCATCGACATTTGCGCAAAGTTCACGGATCCCCTCAAGGCCTGTCGCGCTGTGGTGGCCGAGAGCTACGAGCTCTGGCTTCAATACGAACTCCGAACGGACGATATTACCATCATTTGCATATTCGTCGAGGCACTCACGGAGCCATCCGTCATGGAGACGGAATACGTCGCAACGCATTCAACCCGCAACGATTCCCATAGTGGCGAAGTTACCCTGGCATCGGGGGCCGCACGTCCTGTGAGAAACCGGATGACCAAGGAAAAGGCCCAGGAAATCGAAAAACTCAAGAAGAATTTTGTGGTCGACGAAGCGGACCTCGCGGAGCTCAACAAGGAAGTCGATCTCGACGCGCTCTACACCCACAAAAGCGCATCGGAGAAAGCAAGAATCGCGGACGCCATCAAGACCTCGGTCATGTTCCGGAACGTTACCGATGATCAGCGCGAATTGATCTACGGTGTCATGGAGCCGATCCGAGTCAAGAAGGGTGATTGGGTGATCAAGCAGGGTTCGGTCGGAGACCGCTTCTACATCATCGACGAGGGATCTTTTGAGGTCCGAATCCGGGGAGAAGGCGAGGAGGACGATGGCTCCGGTGGCGTTCTCACCCACATCTACGAGGGATCCGCTTCGAAGCACCTGCACCCCTGCTTCGGCGAGCTGGCCCTCATGTATTCGGCCCCCCGGTCCGCCTCGATCATCGCCCGCACGGACGGCATCCTGTGGGCCCTGCACCGGTCCGCCTTTCGACAGATCCTGGCCCAGTCGCAGGGGACGCGGAAGGAACTCATGAAGACCCTTTCCAAGATCCCCATGTTCGGGAAACTCTCCAAGGAACAAATCACCAAGCTGGCGGTCTCCTTTGACGAGATCGCCTTTGGCCGGGGCGAGAACATCGTCCAGCAGGGCCACGTCGGGGACTCCATGTTTGTCATCACCTCTGGAACCTGTGGTAAGCAGCAAAATCGAAAATAGATTCTGGATCGTTTTGTTTGAAACCTGTTGTCTCTGTTTCTTACAAGACTACCATGCATTGCATTGCATTTCGTTTCCTTGATTTTTATCTATTGTTTCGAACACACAGAACGCGTAAAGGTGACAAAGGGAGAACCGAAGAGCTCGACGCTCAAAACAGGTGACCACTTTGGCCACGAGGTTATCCTTGACAAAGAAAAGTATTCGGCGACCGTCGTATCCCTCCAGACGATGACTGGGTGGAAAATYAAGAGAGATGTTTTGGCATGCAGGGTCCCGCTGGAGAAACTGAAGGGTAGCAGTTCGTAGTATCGCATAGAAGTATAACGAGCAAAAGAAGCGAACAAATGAAAAAAAGAAACTCTCTTTGTTTTTTCCCAGGTTCACGTTAAGTGACACTGGGTATGGTCGTTATGCAAATGCAGATTGGTGAATATTAGACGGGTTACTATCGTACTACTAGTTTTGCAATTTAGCGACATGCGCCACGGCCCTACTGCTTTTCACAGCTCGCTCCCGGTCGGAAGCAACCTCGGCAGCTCGATCTTTGGACAGGCGTCCATGACGACATCGAGGCCGGCTTCTGTCGCGGTTGCAGCGGCCTCCTCGTTCACGATCCCCGACTGCATCCACACGCACCCCGCGCCAACGGAGATGGCCTCGTCGACGATCGGGGGGACCGCCGCGCTGTTCCGAAAGACGTCGACGATGTCGATGCCCTTGTTCCCGGAAACGGGGATCTCCGACAGGCTGGCGTAAACGGTTTGCCCGTGGATCTGCTTGCCCGCGAGCCCGGGGTTTACCGGGACCACCTCGTATCCGTGGTCCAGGAGGAACTTCATGACAAAGTTGGAGGGGCGCTCTGGTTTTGGGGACGCCCCCACCACGGCGATGGTCTTGGCGTTGAGCAGGACCCTGCGGATGGTTTCCGGGTTGTTCCGGAACATGCTGTTGTTCGTTGCAGTGGAAAGCGCCGTTGACTCTTGAGACACAAACAGAGCCAGAACAACAAGGACCGATGAAAGCGCGAGGGAAACGAATCTAGCTGGGAAAAAGACTCTCGTCGGCCTCTGTATCGTCACAAGCATGCTGCTCGATCCTGGCATACAGTATCTTCTCTCCCAATCTGGTTTGTGCAGAAACCGGATACTGTAGTACGAAATACTGTCGAATCATGGGAAACATCGGAACGTACTGTACGAAACGTACCGTATCGTACGTTTTGTATGGGCTATGGGCAATCTTCATCGGAAAAAGCTAAGCGTCGGCGCGTGTTGCAACCTAACGTGTATGACTTATGATTTGTACCTACCGTGTGGCACTCCCTTACATACCTTTACTCGCGCAGGGAGACATCGCTCGAAAGACTTCATCGGTAAGAAATTTCCGAGCACGAGCATTACCAATCAGTACCACACTCTAATCACTTACAATTATCAGTAAACGAGGAACGGAGATCTGGTGCCTTAGAAACAACCAAAGACGGAGTCGAGTAACAAGTAACGCATAAAAGGGAAACAAGCAAATTCAAAAGGCAGCGCAGCTTGCGATACTGCATCATAACTTGTTCTCCGAACAAACACCAAAGATCATTGTTCGGATCCGGTTGGTTGTTGGATCGAGGAAGGTGACCAACGAACTGATACCCATTGACCCTATCCAAATCCGTTTCTCGGGTTGTTACGATGAGTGGTGCCACAGGTAGCGCAACCCCGAACGTGGGCCTTTCTTCCAACCGCAGCAACAGCAGCGGCACCCCCTCGGCACCACCTCGACCCGCCAGCTACGGGGCCGCTATTCCGGCCGCCACCTCCGGGAATTTCCCTGCCATCGGTTCCACCCTAGGCCCCTACTTTAGCGTTGGGAGGCTTGGGTTCGGAACGTTTTGTAGCATCCACAAGTGCATTAACCTGGGTTACCACCACAACAAAAAACGAAAGACTTTCGAGAACGACAAAAGGAAAGCCCTCCGGCTCGTTGCGGCAAAGGTGGAGATTGGAGAATTCAAAAATTCTGGCGTTCTTGGAGGCGAGGCGTCCATCCTGCATTTTCTCGACGAATCACTTCCACCCAACACGGTTCCCACTTATATGGGGCACTACGTGAACAGCAATCGCGACAGAGAACAGAACAAAACGGTCACTTCGGCCATTGTCATGGAGTACCTGACGGGGCAGGACATGCACAAAATCCGGGAATGGTCTACCAAGCACCAGGAGCAACAGCAACAAGAAAAACACGAGAGGGCGGAAAGAGGCGATGACGAAGACGAAGCCCAGTTCTCGCCCGAATCGTACGGCGTCGGAAAGAATAAAGGCAACGAACACGGTTCCCCGACGAAGGGTAGCAGCGCTACAAACAACCGAAACAAAGGCTCGGGTGCTTCAACCCGGCGCCGCATCGCGATCAAAGATGCGGTGTACCTTACGGCACACGTCTTGCTGCCTCTGCTGCGAAAGATGCACTCGGTCGGAATTATTCACCGAGATGTAAAGCCCAGCAATGTTGTCAAACGGAACGACGATGGCGACGAGGACGAGTCAAACAGCGGCAGCAATGCCGATATGTTTTGCATCGTAGACTTTGGCCTTTCGAAATCCATCGTCGTTCCGCACACCAACGACACGGCCGATGCAAAGCAATCGTGGAAAGGATCGACGTGGATGGGGGCATCTGCTCCCGGGACGGCCGTTTCGTCGCGGGATCCTTCCGGGTTCGAGCTTCTGTCCCCGGATTCGAGCGGGCCCACCGAAGGCAAGACGAACAACCGGCCGTGCTACAGGGCAGAGCGGCCCACCGCCGACTTTCGGGGGACGTCCATGTACGCCAGCGTGCGAGTCCACCAGCTGCGCGAGTACTCCCCCCGGGACGACATCTGGTCGCTCCTGTACGTCTTTTGCGACCTCGCCTCCGGGGGCCTGCCGTGGATGCTGTACGCCGCCAACCGGGACCGGGCGGCGTGCAAGCTCCTGAAGGAGCGCATCCACGGCCTCGAGCCACATGCCGACGGGAGGATCGGAACCGATACGAAGCGCCTGCTCCTGGGGGACGAGTACCACCGAGCGCTGTTCAGGAAGCGGAACGGAAGAGTCGATCCGCCCATGGACCACGAGGAGGGCGCCCTGATCGAGGACGAGGAGGATCCAGACCTGCCCAAACCGCTGGCCCTCTCCGAAGACGTGCACAAGGTTGGATTGCTGACCAAGGCCTTTGAGCACCTCAAGGGCCTCGGATACGCCGACATACCCGATTACGACCTCATCCAGGGCTGCCTCGAGGGCTTTCGAGAGGACGGAAACAAGCCAAGCACCAATGGATCCGAAGCCGGGAATGGATCGTGCGAAACCCCCATTCCTTGCATCGATTGGGGGCTCTTGGCGGAGCACTCCAGGAGCACCGAGAATGCGGTCCACGGGAACGGCCACGGAAGCGTGCCGGCGTGGGGCTTCCTGGACGGCGACAAGGGGGACAACGATCCCCTGGACGCTTCCGTCTTTGCCGAGGCGGAAAGAAGCATTCTCCGGGGAAACAACGGCGAGGAGGAAGGAGGACCGCTGTACGGCGAGGCCGCCGACATGGCGCGGCTGCCGCTGGAGCTCCGCTTCCGCATGGCCCAGATGGACTACAACACGGCACACCACACCACGATCGAGCCCCACCTGGCCCTGCGCGATTGGCTCGCGGCCTGCCTGCTGCTGCTGCACACACCGTGGGACTCGAAGCGGTACGAGCGGGGGGGCCACCGTTCCCGCGGAGACGGCTACAAGCGGGAGTTCTTCCTCCGGCTGGTGAACAAGTGCCTCGGCGGCGCGGCGAGGTTCGGGGGGTTCCGCGCGAGGGGGGTGATCTACCGCGGCGGCGGCGACGAAAACGAGAACACCCACAACAACAACAACGGAAGCAGCAGCGAGCGGCCCGCAAAGCGGCGGAAGGTGGGGATGCGAAACGTCCACGAGCCACCGGGCAACGAGACGGCAGACCTGCTCCTCCTCTCGCGGGTCCTGTTCGAGTTGCGTTACACAAAGAAGCTGGAAGAAAAACTTTCACCACCTCCACCCAGCCGGCTTTCCTTTGGATCTTGATAGAATATTGTACCATTCAGCCTAGCAATGGCCTGCCATGCTACAAAATAACACTAATATAGTACGGCCTAGTAGGATCCAATGGCCGGTTCGTGTACTGCCATCCCAAATCATCGGTATGACACGAGATTGTACATTTGTAGATAGTCGTGCTTCAGAGTCCAAACTGCTCATCGGGGGAAAAGCTTTCTTATCTTGCCAAACAAAGGACTAGTAGTTACTGTTGCACCCTGCACAACTTGCACACTTATCCTTCCCGCCTCTGTGCCTCCAGGGCCTCCCGTGTCTCGATCGCCCCGGGGGTCGTCAGGGCGTCCAGCCTTTCCACCTCGGCGAGAGAGAGCTCGAAGTCGAGGAGGTCGCGGTTTTCGACCATGCGGGAGAGCCGGGAGGTCTTCGCCAGGACGACGAGTCCCTTCTGGAGGCCCCACCGGAGGAGCACCTGCGGGGGCGTCACGCCTGCTCCGCCGCGGTGGTGGCTGTGCGATTCCGCTACGGCTTCGACGACCGGGTCGTCCAGGGTCGCCGCGCGGTGCAGCGCCTTGCTCGCGGCGAGCAGGACTCCCTTCTCCTTAAAGTACCGGAGGGTCTCCGGCCGGTAGAGAAACGGCGAGACCTCGAGCTGGTGGACCAGGGGAGGGACGAACTCCTCCGGGGGAAGGATCGCCGCCTCCAGCTCCTCGTAGTCCTCGATCCGAAAGTTGCTGATTCCCAGGTGCAGGATCTTCCCCTCCCGCCGCAGGTCCATGAGTTCCCGGTAGGTCTCCACAAAGTGCCCGGGGACCGGCCAGTGGACGTAGCAGAGGTCCAGGTAGTCCAGTCCCAGGTCGCGGAGGCTCTGCAAAACGCTCTTTCGCACCGCGTCCCTTCCGCCGCGCTGGGCATCGTTCCACACCTTGCTCGCCACGAAGAGCCGGGACCGCTCGATGCGCTTGCTTCCGTTCGAAGGTGCCGCTGTCGTGGCGAGTGCGAGCGCCAGCGCCCTCCCGAGGGACCGCTCGTTTCCGTAGATGCTGGCCGAGTCCAGGTGCCGGTACCCGGCCTCGAGGATGGCGTCCGCCATGATCCCGACCCCCTCGTCGCTGTCGGGTATCTTGTACAGACCAAACGCCAGGCTCGGGACCCTTGCACTCGCTGGTGTCGACGGCGACGAAGCCGGCGAGCAGATGGGCACGGAATAGGTTGGATCCTTGTCGCAGCTGCTGTTGCAGCCGGAATGGTTGCCTGCTTCTCCGGTTTCCGTAGCTGTGCTCATCGTGCCGCACTACACTATGGAGAGAAGTGGGATGGGATGGGATGTGGTGGACCAGTGCGTGTACAAACTACGGCGGGTAGTTACAAGCCATGGGTGAACAATGCGATGTATCATGTTCGAGAATTCGAGAGATCATCCAGTCGGGATTCATGAGAGATGGATTTTGATTGACTCCAGTCACAAAGTTGCAAGCAGAGCTTGATTCGGCTTACTTCTTGGTTGACGTCACAATTCCTTCACTATTTATTGACCCAATCAAATTTGAAGACAGAAGGAATTATCTTGCTCAGCAAGATCAAGGTGGAGCTGAAGTGAAAGAAATTTATAGCTTGGGTTGCTGTACCATTTACTGGGAAATATACTCAAAAACAGCAGGGACTCACAGTGCTGAGTCTTTTAAGTCACCAAAAGAAATAGTTCAAAAATAGTACTACTGGTATGCTGGGGACTCAGGGGACTCTGTTAAGGTATGAAAACAAATTATTGAGTGTCGAGAACTCAAACTTTAATTTCATTTTCAAATCCAATCTGATGAAAGCATTCCATTTTTTAAACTTTGACAATTTCTATCCAAGACAATCTCATCAAATGGCTGCTGCAATGACCAGCACCACCACAGCGGTGTTTGCAGCTCCGGCAATGAGCTGATTGGACCATTCATAACTGCCTGTTACAGGTGCACTGATGTCATTAATCCATTCATCGTCTTCCAACATTTTGAAGGTGATCAAAAATGGCATGGTTTTGATTCCTTCAAGATTTCTTCTTTCCGAAGCTTTGAGATCATTTTTTTAGGGACTTAAACTCTCACAAACAAGCAGGTCTGGGTGTGTCCTTAAGGCAATCACCTGTTGCCACAAATTCACTTCCTTTGGTGGGCTTAAAAGTATAACAGAAATACCTGCAAGTTCCTTCCTCATATATAGTGGTACTGCAGCATTTGCCATCACAAGTTTTTGCTACACTTTCAAAATCGTTTCTACTAGAAGCTACATTTTGCAAGAACATGTACAAAAACCTCCTGCATTGGCACTCAAACACATTTTGAGACAGGCAGTCACAGGTAGAAGGTAGGATGGGCACTATAAAAGACAATTGCACCTTACCAGTGCATTCAATAGTATTGTATTGATTCCCACCTGAATTCTCTCTCTCTCTCTCTCTCTGTCATGCAAAAAGATGGAAGAATAACGCTTTGTGAAATAGACCCCATTGGTACCCATTGCACCATCTAGGTCCAGATTGGAAAGGTCCAAAGAAATTGTTGTCAAGTCCACTGCAAATTTCTTCAAGACCTTTTCACCACAGGTAATCTTATCAACACAAACAACAGATCATCCCTTCTTCCCCTCTGCCTCAAACAACTTGACATACAATGCAAAGTCCATTCCAATTTTGTAGGCATCTTTCTCTCCAAGGCCATCCAAACCAACAAGTTTAGCATTCACCGGAATACCATTGTCCATCTTGGACTTGATTACTTTTGTTGCTATATTGGTGATTTTCACATCTTCTCAGAAGGACAAAAATTCAGATTGGTGGAGTATAGAGTACTCCATGTACATATTGAGGTAGGAAATCAAGTTGTCATCCTGTTCTACTAAGCCCACACGGACACCTGCATGTTACGAAAAAAGCCAATGGAGAGATGGTCTGTTTATGCATGTCTGTTGTACCACAAGAGCTTATGATAGTCCATATCATTTTTGTAAGTGGTCTTTGAACCAAATTCTTTCAATGCAACAGGATGATTATGCAATGGTTTGGATTGGTTTTATCAATTTGGGACTTCATGCTAGTGTACACTTACTCATTTGTTTAGTCTTTTAACTAACCAAAATCAACAGTTTGACATTAGTATTGGCCGGTTGGAAAGGTTTTGGCATATGTGCAACAAGCAAAACACAGACCTTTTTTCACAACAACCAGAAAGTACTATGCAAGTTCTGAGCACATGGATAAAAATTCACAAAAATCTACATGTCACAAAGAAAAAAGGTGAGAAGGTGAAAACACATAGACACATCAAATACAGTGCTCAAAAATTTGTTCCCACATACCAAAGAGGGGGAAAATGTAGATCCCTGTGAAGAAAGAAGGCTTGCACACACCAGCTGGATTTTGCAGGGATGGGGCAAATGGAACAGAAAACAGACATGAAAAAACATCACAAGAAATAAACTTTGTCATTACTTTTTCATTCTCTGTTGTTTGTTCAAACAACTTTGATCCGTTAACAACGTGAACCACTTTATAAGTGACTTTATAAGTGGGGCAAACAATTGTTACTGAATTAGTAGTAGTAGTACTCATGGCATCTATGTGTTAATYCCTATCTCCCAAGCTTTTACCAAGCATATAATGCTAGTATACCTACACCTTCTACTAGTAGTAGAATGTCTTTAGGCAACATTTGGTTAAGTGCATCATAGTAACCTATCACTTACATTGATAATTATTTTATGGCATATTAGACATGACATTACTAGTAGTAGTACTAGTACTACTAGTAGTGATACTAGTACAGCATTGCATCATTTGTTGGAAATTAGTACAAACACTACCACCTCTAAACTACTGTTACTAAGTGCAACATGTTAGTTAGAGGAGTGATATCTCCTCAACCCAAGCACCAATACTAAGCATAAGAAGGGCGCTGTGCCAAGTTCTGACTCTCATTGATAAAGTCTCCAAATACCATTGCAGTTATGTTTTGAATCTACTTCTTCATAGTACTGATTTTGAATCTGTTCATTTCCAAAGCCACCATGGTGTCTCACAACACAACCCGAAGAAGGAACCCTCCCCTGCCAAACAGAATAGCCAAATTGAATCAAACTATCAGATTGAGGTTTGAAGATGAAGTCACAATTTTCAGTATTCAGAGTTCTGGTAAAATATCAAATACCAGTGCCTGTGGTGTTGGAACACATTCCTCCAAGAATCTAACCCTCTCAGCACTGCCCATATTCCTTGTTTGATTCTTTTGACATCATGTTGCAAGTGTTGTGCATTGAATTTCAACCTGGTAAGTTTTTAAGGAGCAAACTCCTCCAATCATGGCTCTATTGCTCTGATTTTCTTGCAAACTTCAGGCTTGGCATCCTTAGTTTCTAAGTGACCAAGCCGGATTCTTTCCAGTACTATTTTTTATACCCACCAAGGGGAACAGTTCTCATTGAATCAGAGCAAGCTTGCTATGTCTCACTACCTCAGCCTTGGACCAGGAAATCAGCTGATTTGCTGTGCAAGTTACTCATAAGGAACAGAGTCCACTCACAAAGCCTCAATGGTTATGCACCCCTAGGGTGTAGAGAAAGTCACTGTTTTTCTCCTCAAGGGAAAGCATTAGTAAGCCTTTTTCTAGGAAGAGACTCAGTGCTGTCTCTAGTGAGGAACTAAGCCTGCACTCTGTACAAGTAGCAGCCTGTTTGGATTACACTACTGTGAGATTGAATATACTTTTTGTAAAAGTGATCATAACTCGGATGGATTTGATTTATTACTACAAGCGCTAAAATGGTAAGATTTCACACGGCATCGTCACGGAGACAGCCTCAATCGTCATCGCTTAGAACAGATGCTTCGTCCATGTCTGTCGAAGGACCAAACTCACCGGCGTTGCCGGTATTCTGAGAGATTTCAATGTCTGTGGCAGGAGGGGCTTCTTCCTTCGAGAAAACACCGTCATTTGAGCGCTTGATGGCCCGTCTCGYCTGGAAGGTCTTCCATCCGACAACTCCAACAATCAAGAGAGAAATTACGACACCCAAGACTGCCATAACAATAATTGTGGTCGTCTCGGCACTGTTTCTTCCAGGGGCCTTTCCGAAATCGCTTTCGACGGCAATCGCTTSAAACCCATCGTTTTCATCGGTAACCATTGCGGTAGAAGGCGGAGCCTTTTCGCGGCACAGATAGCAATCGAATCCAGAGGCTTGCTTCACCCCATGGGGAGCAAGCCAGGTTTGTTCGTCGTCGCAGGCATCCTCCGACACGGCGCAAAAGGATTCTCGTTCGCCATCAACAAAACGGGTRCACGCACCGACCTGGACCTTGTCACAGGTGCATCCCTCGTCGAATGCGTCCCACGTGTTGTCCTCGACGCAGTGCTTGTGGCTCCAGGCACACATGCCGTAGTCGCAACGCCCAAAGGAGGTGGTTTCCACCGTGCACTCGGGGATCTCTCCCAAAAAGCCCCTGGTCGCGTCGGTTTCGGGGCATGCCTCCACCTCGGACGCACACTGCGTCGGAACGCCATCGTCGCCGGTGGTGCATCTTCCAAGGACGGTTTTCTTGATGGACTCCTGCCACCGGCAGCTCCCGCCGTGGGCCCGGACCGGTGCACCCTGCATCTGGCGGACCGAGCGAAAGTTTGCGGGGTCGTCGCACTCCAGTTTCGTTAGTGCGCAACCGCCTGTGTCGGGCCAGTCGCAGTATCCCCCCTTCACGGATTGACGAGTCATGGTSGATGTTCTAATTGTTATTGTACGATGTGTCAGACAGATCTGGTTTGGAAATTCTGAGTGGTGTGAATTTTCTCTGYCTCCATTATTCTTYACTGGATTGGGAAAAGAACKMWCTCTCTCSACGAAGACAACAAATACGATCATCGTTCCAGTACTAGTTCTRKKTTAAAAACAAAAAYCYTTAAGTACATCTTGCGCATGCTRGGCGYGCTTARTACTCGTGAGATTCCCGTGTCACACTAATCACGGTGACAACCCTTTGTCCTCACCAAGCGTGACGCGAAACACACTTCGGCGCGTGGAGGATCGAATTGGATCTTCTTCTCCCAAAAACAATAAAACAATAGAATTTGCGGAACACCGTTTGATCATTGATATATTGTGGTGGGGCAGCCCCTCACATCATAAATTTAATTGTGTYCGACGTCGAATACATTGTACCGTAGTAATCATTCGTTTCAGAACAACAAGCATGAAGGTTTTAGCTCAAGCGCTTATCGTGGCCCTGTCCCTCTCTCMAGCAGATGGTAGGTGAACGAGACTGCGGGTTTCTGCAATCCAGGAAGGATGTTTTTCCGCGAGTTGTCGAACGACTGTATTATTCAATGGTGTTTCATTCCACGCACCTCTATCTCATTTTCTTCGTTGCATTCCCTTTTTTAGCCGTCCAGCAGCAAGCTGACATCTACTATCACGAGAAAGCTGCGTTGGGTCCATCCATGTGGCTTTTCAGCCCGGATGGTCTCACCATTTACTCTCCGAAGGGAGATGTTTTGAAAGAACACCCAAAGAAGATGCTTTGTCCGTCTACTGTCAGGTGGGACGGAACTCCTAGCGATGATTGCTACTACTTCTCGTATGCTTCAGATGGTCACAAATACGTCTGGGCCGGATCTATGGCCGGCGATCACCACGTCCAGGCGTTTGACATCGATACAGGCGACTATGCCGGGTACCTGGATACCTGCAGCACTCCCCTCGATATGGAGTACCATCCCGTCCGCCAAGAGATGTACRTCCGATGTGCCCAAGARGACACCGACGGGGGCAATCCCGGCGAGATCGACGTCTTTTCGTCGGCAAGCCTCAGCAGCGATTTGCCCATGGTCAGTTTCAACGCCACCAGGCGYCCGTACGGACGCTTAGCGATTCACTCGTCGWTGGGGCCCTTCGGCTACAGYCTCGCGTACGACCAGGGCTACATTACCGAGCTGGATCTTTCTTCCAAGACGGTTTCGGGCACGTACGAAATCCCCGATGCCTATGGAGGCTATGACACGGCCTTTTCGCCCGTCAACAAGCATCTGTACTTTCGATCCCGAGTCTGCTGCACCTGTAGCTCGGAAGAAAACGTTAACCCCGATCCCGATGTCGCTTCGTGCGGTCGTGGTGGGTCCAACGTCACGGTCACGACCGGTCCATCGAAGAGCGACGACATCCAGTTCGGCGTTTGCTCCGGCTCGTGCGAGGGCTCACGGGCGGACACCATCGGAGTTGTCGAATTCGATACCGTGAACAAGGTGATTGTCGACACCCACAACATCAAGGAAGGCACCGGCTGGGGTGCAGATGTGGTTGCGTCTCCGGACGGAAAGTGGCTCGTCATGCTCGGAAACGATGGTGGACAAAACATCCGCCTAATGCAAGCAGGAAAGAATGGAGAATCTTCGGTGCGTATGAAAAAATTTTGCAATTCTAGCGAAAAAAGACCCGCTATTGAGTATGGACGAAACAGATTGGATAAAGCTAACTGCTCTTTGCTTTGCTTTGTTTTGTTTTTGCGGCATAGAAATCTTCTGTTCGTGATATTCCCGTGAATTTTGAAGGAGGCACTCCGGGGAAAACCGTTGTGTCCGACGTTGCCTTTGTTCAAGATGGCAATCGCGAGATTCTCGTTATTGGAGCTAGCACCGACAACGACGTTGTCTTGGTGGACCTGAAGACGTTTAAAACTCGAAAGCTCGACCTGGCTCCCAACGAGGTCGAATCTACCGGAGGTGGTGCACGCTACCTAGAATGGGCGGTTGGTACCGACTACGTCTGGGTCAACGGAGGCGAAGCGGAGCACGCCTATGTTCTCAAGATTCCTGGAGGCATCGATAGCGCTTCCGTGGATCGCCAAATCAATGGCGTTCGTTCCGGAAACATGCTCTTCGTGAACAACTACGAGAAAATCAGAGCCATGGCCCTGGCACAGGGTCTGGTTGCCTCGTCGTCGGTTGGATCATCGGCAGYTGGTTCCAACGACCTTGCCATGCTTTCTGGAGCCGACGGAACGGCCTTTTTGTCGGCAAGTTCTGCCGCAAGCGCTTCGAGCGATGGTGATTCCGGCAACGCACTCGCCGTCGTGGGCGTTGTGCTGGGTGCCCTCGGCCTCGTTGCGGGGCTCGGGGCCCTCCTTCTTGTGACGAACCAAAAGAACGCCCAGCCGGTGCCACCGAAGAGAGACGACGTCGAAGAAGCCATGGATGTCAAGACCCTCGGAAGCAAGCGTGTTAATTAGCTTTTGTCTCTGCTTCTGGCTGTTTTTGATTCGATAATGTACTAAATAATAAAATACCTTGTGTCTAAATGAAACATCTATTGCGCAGTACTAGTAGCTTCGCAGAAGATTGGTTGGAAGTTGGCGGTCGAAAAGTAGATCGAACATGTTTTAGTGGATGAYGGARCATCATATTCTGTTTTCCATAATGTCTTCGCGTATCGTTCTCATCATATCGTTCATGTAATGAATGTTGTGCTGCGCGGCTAGGGTCACGGCCAGCGGCTCGTTCGCCTTGAAGAGATGCCAGAGATAGGCACGATCGTAGTGCYGGCACGTCGGACAGGTGCACGCCYCGTCGATCTTGGTCCCGAATTCCTTCGAGTGCTTCCCGGACTTGAGCCGCAGCGGGCCGTCCTTCGTGAGGACCGTCCCGTGCCGGGCGATGCGGGTGGGATAGCAGGAATCCAGGGTGTCGATCCCCCTTGCTACGGCGTGCCGTATGTTTTCCTCGTCCGCAATCCCGAGCAGGTGCCGGGGTTTCCCCTTTCGGTTCTTCCCGTCCGAGTCGTCGTCGAACATGGGCATCATCCAGTCCAACAGGTCCTTGAGTTCCTGCTTGACGTTTCCCAGGCTGCCTCCGATCGCGTACCCGTCAAAGGGCAGGGAGGTCAAGAAGTCTACCGATTTGGTCCGCAGCTCGCGGTCGATGCCGCCGTGCACGACGCAGTACATGGCCTGCTCCCTAACGTTTTCGATGTGGGCACGGAGGGACCGCGCCTCCCAACGGTGAGACCGATCCACCGATTCCTCCAGGACCTTCCGATCGATGTGGTAGGGCGGGAGCTCGTCGAGGGGGATGATGATGTCCGCCCCGATCTTTTTCTGCGCTTCCACGGTCGATTCGGGGGTCAGCAGAAACTTGGAACCGTCTCGGTAGCTCCGGAAGACCACCCCGTCCTCGGACACCTTGACGGCGTCCTTGCCCATCCCGTTCCCGTTGTGGTTTTTCTTCGACTTGCTCGCTCGTTTCAGCTCGCCCTTGCTCGAGAGTTCTTCCTGGACGCTACCGTAGGCCAGGCTAAACACCTGAAAGCCACCGGAGTCCGTGATGAAGGGCCGGTCCCTTCGGTTCGTAAAGTTGTGGATGCCACCGGCCTCGGCGATCAGGTCCGCCCCGGGGTGGAGCATCAGGTGGTACGTGTTGGAGAAGATGAGTTGTTGCCCCGCCTTTTGTTTCGTTCGTTTCCATCGACATAGTTTTCGARAAGAATATGCATCGGCGATAGGTAGCAAGTGCGATAGAAMATTTTTGGCATACACGATGCACGAGCAAAGAGATAGATCACGCGGACGGTTGTACCGAATAAAAGTGGGTCAGTTCGAATCGAAGAGATTTTGGTGGCACACGCAACAGCTGATGCCCGCACAGAAACACACAGACACACACACAAACATTCCATCTACCCGCACCGGACCTACCTTGTCGGCGTCCCGCAAATCGACGCCCTTGAGGGCGGCATTGGTGGCGACGGCTACGTAGCCGGGGGTATCGATGATTCCGTGCGGCGTATGGATGCGGCCCACCCTGGCCTGGCTCTTGGTCGACTCGTGGAGGATCTCGAACCGAAAGAAGTCGCGGGGCTCGTACGCCCACTCGGGGAAATCCTCCGGCCCGAGGAGCGGCGGTGGGGGTGGTGGGGTCTTGCGCTTGGAAGAAGAAGACGAAGACGACGACTTTGACGACGACGACATCTTTTGTGGCTTGGAAGAAAACAACCGGGACGKTGTGCTCGGTGTACGGAGGTTTCCGTCCCTGGCACAACTACCGCCCGCCGCCGGATGGTGTCGACCCGAAAAGGCAGCCACCACGGCGGAGTTCCGGGCAMRGAATCCCGACCTGCACACCAGAACCATGCTGGCAAGCAAAACGACGATGGTGACTGGATCGAAACGTGTSCGCAATTGGTTGTTGTGCCCGTTGTATCGCACCCGAACCATCGGAAGAGACGACCGGAACCACGGGAACACAATCGGTGTTCTCGTCTGCCAGGATGGGAATTCGATCCGATGAAAGTGTGTGTTTGTTTGTTTGTTTGTTTGTCGCAACAGAAGTTGTGTTCTTTCGAGTCTCTGGTCCTGCCCTTGGAACTTCTGTGGATAATGTCGGGATTGGCCGTTTCAGGGGAGACCGTTTGTGTTGGACCAACCCGGTAGGAGGCAAGGACGTGGAAATCCCGAAAATTCTACGAACCTCTCTCTCCCGTTAAAATCTTGAAAATTTTGATTGATGGACATCAACCAATGCGTGTTTCGTTCAGTCACGTGATTTCGATGCGGTTGGAGCATCGAGAATTCTGAGATCGGAATTCAATTAATCATCAATCATGGGAATCGACGAAGGATAGATACGTACRTACCGTACCTAGGATATCTACATCTACATACCGCTAGGAATACTCGTACCTATTATGAGTACCAGTACCCGTGCTCGTAAGATCGGAACGAAATTATCGTTTCCCTACACACGCACGTACGCAATTACGAGTTACGTAGGTACGTACGGTGCGTTTTCAAGTCAGAATCGTTCTGTTGTGCGCCATCTTGCGTTGAACCTGCTTGTCGATCGAGCGATGCCGATGTCGACGAATCGAAACCAGTCATTCGTCCSGAGTCCGACGCAACGATGCGTATTTTGGATACGATGAAGACAGCACTCTTGTGGCTGGCGATCGGCMGSCTTGGGCCATCGCTTGCCTTTCTGCCCCAAGCGGTGCCGCCCGCAACGGCGAGATCGCGGGCGTTYGYGGCGGCGGAAGCGGAACCAGGGAATTCTTCCGATCGGGAACGCCCCCGGCATCCATGCGCCGGGCAAGAGAACCCCGGCACGGAGGCCGCGGCCGGGTTGGAAACCTGGGACCGGAGGGGGTTCCTGGCCGGGGCGGCGGCGGTCCTCGCGTCCTCCGCGGCGGAAGGKTCCTCCCCCGCAAGGGCCGTCGTCACCGACGAAACCGACAACTTTGCCGACAACTACTGGAGCAAAAGCCCGGCGGTCCAGGGAGGGACCACCGCCCCCGGTACCGCAAGCGAGGGCGCTTTTGCGGCGCCCTCGGACGAGGTCACCGTGGGGGTCTCGGGGGCCGACCTCCGCTCGGMAGGGGGGATCGGCCTCGAGCTGGGGGAGGTCGAGTTCCGGACCAACCGCCGCGTCTACGTCAAGTCCGTCTCTCCGGGCTCGCCGGCCGACCGCCTGGGGATCAAGAAGGACTGGATCGTCGTGTCCGTCAACGGGGCCTCSGCGGAGCGGACCGACGYCGAGGGCGTTGCCATCATGATCTACAAGGCGGCCCGGGAACCCGGGAGGAGCGCCAAAGACACCGTCGACCTGCGGTTCCGGAACCCCGTGGTCTTTCGCAACCAGCTGAGGGACCTCTCGTCCTCCCCGCCGGGCTCCACCGTTGTTACGCAGGTGGCCCCCGAAGGGGACACCACCCAGCGGAACCCCGACGGATCGGTCCGGCAAGGCTACGGCGGACCCACCGACCAGGCCGACCAGCGGCTGACGGTCACGCAGCTGGTCCCCCCCAAGATCTGCCGCAGGGGCGCCACCGAGGACGACCTCCTGGAGATCAGCTACGTCGGGAAGGTCGCCGAAACCGGGGCGATCTTCGACGGGTCGGCCGTCCGGATCAACGGGGAGGGGATCGCCGGCCGGGGGAACGACGTCTCGATCTTTTTCGTTCTGGGCAAGCAGCCCTTCGGGCAGTTCCCCCCCGGCTGGGACGCCGGCCTCGAGGGGATCTGCGTGGGGGAGCGACGCCGGCTCCTGGTCCCGCCGGTCCTGGCCTACGGTTCAAAGGGCCTCCCGMGGCGGGGGATCCCCCCGGACGCGACCCTCCAGTACGACGTGACGCTGGTGTCGCTGAACGGCCTCGCGACGCCGCAGTAGCCGGCGGCGGCGGCGATGGCACGCATCGCAAGGAAGGTGGCAATCCAGGGCAATCCAATGCAACGCAACRCAAGGCAGTGCTAGTCCGAGTGCGAGTGCTCGCGGACACCGGGAGGTACGCGAGGACAACCCACCGAACCGGTCGGAATGCTTTCGCACCGGCGTCTTGCAACGCTGCGGCTGGGTGGTTCTGGATTGCCCGTTCCAGGCCAAGGAACACATATTTCCTTGCGAAACTAGAAACAGTAAACAGTTGTATCACAACACATCTACACCAAAAGCAATACGGAGTGTTATGGTAATAAACAAAGTCTAGGACAGTCCGATACCACGTGCTAGTAGTACCAGTCTTCTCGAGACTACTGAAAAGGAGTATGCACAACTCGTCCAGTGCTCGGTTGATTCGAAACTCGAATCAATCAGAGCGACTCGATCGACCCCTGAGCGGTTTCCACCCTCTATTTTTCTACTGGAGAGCGACATTCTGGCTGGTTTTCGATGGTCCCCGCACAAATTGTTAGTCACTTTTACAGCTTKTAAAAAATTGAGATTTCCTATTAGTTCTTACTGCTGGAAAACCTCTACTAATGCTTACTACCGTAGTTGSGATATTTTAGTAGTGAGACACTGCAAACTGCTGTGTTCTGTTTGTACTGCTCCCGGGGGCAATTGAGTTTCAAGACCCCCCTTCCCGATAGTAAAAATTGGAAATTGGAAATTGTCATCGGTGTTCTATCTCGATGATGATACCACCTACTTCTAGTGCTGCATACTCGTACGAGTACTCGTCATACCCGGAAGGTCATCAGTCGTGCGCGTTGAATGACTCGCTGGTTCCAGTCGTGGGGCTTTTGGAACGGCAGTCCTCGAACTACCGTTCGMAGTACATGGGTACCGTACGGTGCGTCCCATACCGTACAGGAAGAACGAGAGAACAAGGCTGTTTTTTTGAATCGAGAGAATCACAAGAAGGGCATGCTCGAATCAAAATCCAAGTCTTTTGGTCTTTTTTCGGCTCCCCCTTCCCGTGCCAACGCGATGCGGTTGGTGTTCGCACGAAATCCAGCACACGGTTGGCACCATGCCGGTTTCTYTCTGGTTTCATTTCGTGTCGTCGTCGATGGGAGAGGAGCACCGGAGGCATCGATAGCGCACAACCCTATCGCAACGACAAAAAGAAAGCACCCATAGATTCTTTCCCGGCAAGGAAACGAAGCACAAAGAAAAACGACGGGCAGCGAGCCGCCGAATACGGTACTACTGCAAGAAACCAGCAAGGCAACACGAGACAGCACGAAAACGACCGCACCAAAGCAAACCAAACCAWACCAGCAGCGGTAGCAGCATTGCAGGCTACAGAAACAGCGTCGCAATGGMCCGGGTTGCAACCACTCCGCACAACGCCGATTGCTCGGTCAGCCACGGCAACAGCCAAGGCCGTGTCCACATCGATAGCGACATCCACAGAGACATCCAGAGCCACGCCCGCAGCAARAACCACTTCGACCGGCACATCTGCCCGGCGCCCCTGGCCTTTCTCACCACGAGCACCGACAACAACGACGACGGCGACCCCGACGGCGACCTCGTGAGCACCTACAGCTGCGGCGAAGCAGCATCGCCATCGCTGTCGCTGTCGCTTTCACCAACGGCATCCGCGTCCACCGTCCATGGCCACACCAGCGCCGGAGTCTCGGTCGCAAAGACCCTGGCCAAGCTCCGGTCGACGGCCGCGAACCGGTCGTGCGGAGACTGCGGGAGGGTCCTGATCGACCCCTCCGACGTCTGGGTGTCCGTCTGCCTCGGGGGCGGCAGCAACCGCATCGGCCACCCCTCCTCCCGGCGGGGGAGCCGCCGGATCGCCCTCCAGGACTTTGGGCTGACCCACCGGGCCTTTGCGCCGGATGCCAGCAACACAAGTGGCAGCGGCAGCAGTGGCAACGCAGGGACCGCGAACCGTGCTTGCACCGGCAGCACCCCSGACGCCTACGAGGAGGATCCCTCCTTCACCGCCAACCAGCGGTTCGGCGGCCACGGCGTCTTYGTCTGCGGGCCCTGCGCAGKKGCCCACAGGGCGCTCGCCTCCTCCCCMCACCACCACGTCCGATCGATGAGGGTCGAGCGGGCCATCGACACCAACCCTTCCCCCTGGACGGAAGGGGAGGCCCTCTTCCTCGGGGGAAGCCACRGCGGGAACGCCCGCGCAAGGGCCGTCTACGARGCCTTTGTGCCGGCCCACTGGGAGGCCAAGAGGCCCCTCCCGAACAGCCCCGGAGCGGTCCGCCTCCTGTGGTGCCGGGCCAAGTACGAGGCCCTGGCSTTCTGCCTGCCGCAGCCGGGGCCSATCGCGGGGGATTCCTGGAAGAGGGTGCTGCCGGGGTGCCGGAGGGACCAAGGGCCACCACYGGCGCGGCAAAAGCARAASCACCGAACCGGCCCTTCCGCGTGCGGGTCTCCCTGGCTGGGCAACATCGGTGCCCTGTCGCTGGGAACCGGGCGGGGGGCGGAGCACGACCGCGGATCCKCCGGAACGGCCCGGCTTGGCCGCAAGCGGCAGCGGGGGGGCCTCCCGGACCGCCTCGTGGACTATTTCTGCGTCGTTTCCGCGTCGATGGAAGCCGCCCCGGCCTCCCCGCT